TATATACAGTTGTGTTTGAATTAGTGTCTGATTCTATGCTGGATGAAGTGTTATCATGAAGTGATCGAGGTAGAGGGAAAGCAAAAAGTGGGATGATGGGGAGTTTGCTCTAGAGGTTGGCTAGGTAGGAAATTGAGCGATGGAGAGATCTAACTTGGCGACTCATCGTGGGCTGAAAAGATGGTTGTTCTGAGAACGAAAATTAGTGGTATGTGGTTGTTCTATAATTGGTTCGTATGTGTCTTCTATGTTTGGTTGTTGGGATGTTATGTGTTGAATTGGGCTTCGTGGATAATTAGATCTCGAAGTTATGAGGTCTGTTTGGGCTATATTTCTGAAATTTCGTGGTACTAATGATAAGGGATGGCTATGATTTAGGTTTTGTAGTTGTGTTTCCGTAGGTTTTGTATTTGTACTATTTTGTGAATATTCATATGTGTTTGGTGTTGTTGATAGCTTGGTATTGTATTCTTTTATTTGAGCGTCCAAAAGTAATTTTTTTTATTGATGTAGAAAATATTCCAAAAAATCCTGCAAAAAGTATGCGTGCTACGCTTGCTTGTTTATTTACTTGTGCGTGTATTGCGCATGTATTGTAGCTTCCTTTTAAGAGAAAGAAAAGAAATCCAAGAAAATTAAACATTGCGTATAATGTAGTCAATCTTTCAAAATGTAGTAGGGCCATCCTAGAAAGGCAAGAAGTTCGTTTTTCAAATTTACAAAACTAAAAACATTTATTGGTGATAAATCTTGTGGTCTGTATTTTTCGCCATTTAGGTAAGTGTAATCTTTTATATCTTTAAAAAATCCGCTATAGTCTTGTGCGTATATGTCCGAAAAGCCTGCTGTTTCTGCAAGTTTGCGTAAGTTTTGGTCTACTGATTGTCGTTGTTTATGGTCAATTTTTGTGAATAATTCTTGAAATGGTTGTGTACGTATGTGATGTTGATTGTCGGATTTTGGTTAATGCCGATCGATTGTAAATTGATATTTGGATTGCGGGCTATAGCTCTAATGCTTTCTGATGAGAACATTTTTAGTGGTTCCATAAGTATAGGATATGGTGTGAGAAGGTAGTATTTATCTTCGTCAGGGTTCAATTGTACTACCTTGTGGCTATTTTCTGATCCCCATGGGACTGCTGTATCCCAAAAAAAACTCTTTAAGAGAGTGTATCAACAAAATGTATTTTGCTTTTGTAGAATTTTGGGATTCTTTTATAGCATCTTTTGTCTTCAAAATTATACAAAAACTTTTTTTGGTACAAGTGTAATACCATAATATGTTTCCTTCGTAATTAATAAAATTGGATCTGTTACCTGACAGTAAATATCCTGCATAAGGGATTTTTAATACTGCTAGTGCAAGTGATTGTAAAATTTGTGTGCGTTCATGTTCGCATAGTTGATGGAGTGTTTCAAGTCCTGTCAAAGGCATTTCTTGAAATATTCTAGTTATTGTGCAGTCTAATTTCATGTCTAGGTGTATGTCATAGTAAATTGCACCATAATGAGTGTTATTCATTAGTGATAAATCTTGTAAACATGTACTGTCTTTGTCTTGTGGTTTTATTTTTCCGCCAATGTTTCCTGTTTTTTTCAGAAATTTTACTGGGATATATGAATTTTCGTCACTGTTTGAATGAGATGTATATGCTATTGGATGTATAACTATTTTTCCTGTATTCATGTCGAAACTTTGTTCGTATTCGACAAGAGTTTCTGAGTATTGTGTTTTGTAAAGTGGTTTGGTGTATATACATGCAAGTTCCATTTTTGAGTATATTTGGAATCGTGTCAGTTTATTTTCTATATTATGAATGCTTCTAAACTTAAATTTACTATGTTTGAGTTGATCAGGATTCATGTCTTCAAAAAGGATTGATTCATTGAAATATTTTTGGTGAAAGTTTATCATTCTAGCGTGTATTTTTGCTACTTGAAATGTGGTACAGGTGTCTTCGGGAAACCAAACAATTGTTGCTTGTGTTCGTGTAGTAGGATTGCAGTATCCTTGGTCGTTTTTGCAAGGGAGTCTGATTCCTGGATAAATTACAGTGTCATCCTTTAAATCTCGTATCGGTTGTACTTTTTCAAGTTGTATTTTCCAATCAACAAACATTATTTCTTGGTATCCTTCGTTTTAATATCGGCTTTACAATTTGAGGGGTTGTTTATTCTAATGTGAGGTTTCCAATTTTTATCATAGAGATTGTAAGTTAATTTTCCATGTGCTCCGTGGAAGGGAAATTGTTCGTCTAGTTTTATATGACCTTGGTATCTTTCCAGTTGGGATTGATGTGCAGAGTCTGGAAAAAATTGAAAGTGTTTCAATTTTCTGGTTGTGCCTTTGTTTGATATGATTTTGATTGTTTAAGTTCGTTTTTACAATGGTCAGGGCTGAGATCTAATAGTCTTTCCATGTTACTTTGGTTGAAAGATTCATGAAAGATTCCGTTTGAAACTTGGGAACAATGTACTTTCTTTTCAGAGAATGTTGCTGTGAATTTATATCCTCTTAGTGTTGTAGCTCTTGCTTTTGAGTAAAGTGTAGCTGTTATTTTTGTTGTTCCTATTGATTGTGGTTCAGTTTCGCTTTGAGTGATTTGATTTATTGCATATTTATGTAATGTTTTTGGTTCATTTTCTTCACAGTCGTAATGTGTGACTAGTAAATCCTGGGGTCCTGTTCGTGAGGAAGGATTGTTATGATCGGGTTTTGAGAAATTGAAAAAAAAGGGTCTGGAAAGTTAGTATCTTTAGAAGATACATGTGTATGATAGTCCTGAGTATGGATTAAAAAAGGTGATATATCCAATTGTCTTTTTTGTGTATCTATTGTATTTGTAGATGATTTCTGTTGTTATAAATGGGGGACGTAAAAATTGAGCTGTAATATTCGGGGGGGGGGGGGCTAGGGATAGGGGTTGATGAATTATATTTTTTACTCTTACTGTGATTTCAAATTTTACTGTCAGATTATCTTGTGTAAGTATTTGTATGTTATGTTCTTGTATATCTTTGTGGATATCTTGTCGATATTGTAATCTCTTTAGTGCCCCGTTGTGTAATCTGTTACTTACGTGATGTTGTCCAAATAATGGAGGGGGTGCTACGAATGTATTCCAAACTAATCGTAGGTGTATGTTATTTGTTGAATTTTCTCTATATCTGGCGTCAATATTTGTAGGAAAATTTGTGGGAAATGATGTTTGTGGGATTTGAGTTATTGAAGGGGTTGAAGGGAGTGAAAGAGTTTCTGGTAGTGACAAAGTTGTGTCATATGAAACGTCTATTGGGTCGTTTACTAAATTTGGTGTGCCTTGAGAAAATGCTTGTGTCATCCAAAAGGGGAGATGTCCTGTAGTAGCTGGAGGATTAAAAGGATTTTCTCGGACTTGTTCAGATGTAGGGGTTGAACCTAAATAATCTGAGGGGATGTTCGATGTGTTTTTTGTTGTGTTGGGGTCTGGTGAGTACTTTGAATTGTGCTACTGCAGAGGTCTATAGGGTTTGCTATTGGTGAATGAGGTATGTTGAATTAAACTCTGGGGGTTTGCAAATTTCTATTTCGTCTTGGATGAATTTTTTGTCTGTTTTTTTTTCGTGCGTGTTTTGGTTTTGACTTTGGTGTCTTGCTCTATTAAGATTTTTTTGGAGAGGGGGCTATATATTTGATACTGGTTCATATTGTGGTTCGCTTAGAGATGCTTGGCGAATTACTGGTTCTAGTGGTTCGGACAACTTTCTTCAAATGTGTATGGATTATCTTGAAAAGAGATGCGCGTTGATGATTATACTTTTGGCTATACTCATAGAGTAATTTCAGATAAGGTACACCGTCTGCTCGTCACGCTATCTTATTTTTGGCCGGATAGATTTGTGCAACTACTTAGTCTAATACCAATCTTAATCTTACTCTTATATCTCCTAGTCTCAATAGATCTAGTGTACACCGGTTTACGCGAGTTAGTTCCAGAATGAGAACAACTGTATTCTAAGTTTAATTCAAATTGTTCTGATGTTGAAACTACAAGTAGTTTCAACACTTACAAATAAGTGGGTTGTTATTTTGATGGATTGGTTAGTATTTAATATTTTATAGAGATAAATTACCATAATAATAACCAATGATAAATACTAGTTTAGATCTGGTTCCAGAATCGTAATGGAGAAAGCGAGAAAGAGCTTTAGTTTTCTTAGGTGTGTTTCTTGCAAAAAATATCAAAAATAAAAAAGAGAGTGGTTTGTATGACGATGGGTGATGTGGTGTATCTACGATTATAATCGATTATAAATCCATTTAACATCTAATTTTGGTTAATGAATAATTGTCAATTTACTAATTTGGGACAACTAAAGTCCAATCAGTCTTGATTCCCACGCCAATTAAAAAAATTGGAATAATGTGTGCGTTGAGAGAAAAGGTTCTGACCATTTTCAGTTTCAGAACAGTTTTTTTTATAGATGAAGAGTGAAGACTTTACGGACAGTGTTGCCTTCTCTTTGTTCTCTTTACGGCTAAAATTAAATGATTAACATGAACTTTAACCAGTAATAAGTTGATTTCTTAAAAAACTCTAGAATCATTTACTTTAAAACATAACTGTGGTTTTAGAATAAGTCTCCTTGAATAGATTTATTCCAAGATCAAGTTTGAAAGCGTAAAAGAAGAGCTAGCTCAATTTTACCTCATTATTCCCAGAGTGGCAGAACAGTAATAAATAGAAAATGCGAAACTAGGAAACAAACTATATGTAATGTTTTAGCTGAGACTGCTGCATTTTGATCTGCCCAATATTAATACTCTATTGACCCTTATTTGTTTTCTTTTTCCATCTTTCATGTGGTATACCGAACCGACATTTATATGCCGAAAAAGGGGTTTTTCAAATTTCTTATTGATTACATTTTATTGCACGTTTATTCCACGAGTAGGCATTTTTGTACAAGATATCTCAAAATTCAATTCATCATAAACCAAATTCGCATATTAACAAATCGTTACACTTATTTGTTGTTTTGATATATCAATAGTAACAATTTTCTGTGTTGACTTCAAATTTAAGGTCAACTTAAATTGTTAAGAACATGGCACAGTTTTCTTACCAATTTGGGACAGTTTCAGTTGTTTTTCTGTTTTTTGCTTTGTCCCATTATAAAGTGCACCCTTATATGCATTTCGAATCGAATGATGAACCACAAAACGATCATTACGAGAACCAGGAACTGACTGAAAAGAAGCCAGATGAAGCAGTTGACGCTTATGACCATTGGGAAAATAGCGGACAATTTGAAAACATGTACGCCTATGATCATCTGGGAAATAAGATCTTTTTCAACTCTGATGACAGTCATGGTCAAAAAGAAAAAACCGAGCAGGAGGAAAATTTTGATCCAAAAGATGAGCATGATGATAGGAATAACAAAGGCATCTATGGAACAAACGATCAAATGGAAAATAGATTTGATGAAAAACTTGATCCATACAGTCAGCCAGAAAAAAGCGGACATTATGAGAATTTGGACCCCTTTGGAGCAAATGACCAAAACGGACAGAATCAAAAATTTGACCCTTACAATCTCGAAAACAGCAACCAATTTTACGAAAGATTCGACCCTAATGGGCACCAGGAAAACAGAAGATACCCTGGAAATTTTGACACTTATGCCCAGCGAGAAAGTCTCAGACAGCGTGAAAACTTTGACCCTATTGGCAACCAGGAAAACAGAAGATACCCTGGATACTTTAACCCTTATGCCCAGCGAGAAATTTTCAGACAGCGTGAAAACTTTGACCCTATTGGCAACCAGGGAAACAGAAGATACCCTGGATACTTTAACCCTTATACCCAGCGAGAAATTTTCAGACAGCGTGAAAACTTTGACCCTATTGGCAACCAGGAAAACAGAAGATACCCTGGAAACTTTGACACTTATGCCCAGCGAGAAAACTTCAGACAGCATGAGAACTTTGACCCTATGGGGCACCAGGAAAACAAACGATACCAGGAAAATATTGACCCATATGCTCAGCAAGAGAACAACACACAGCGTGAAAACGTTTATCTTGACGATCGAATGGAAAACTTCAGAAATCATGAAAAAATTGACCCAAACGATTTCAATGAAGGAAACATGAATGATTTCAAATTTGAGTATGACCCCAATGATTTCCAGAAAAATAACAAATATCATGAAAATTACAACCCTTATGACCAAGTTAGAAATGACAGACGTTTTGAGAATTACGATAATTATGACGATCAACGGGGAAACAGACATTATGAGAATTACGATCATTATGACGATCAACGGGGAAACAGACATTATGAGAATTACGATCATTATGACGATCAACGGGGAAACAGAGGTGATGAGAATTATGACCGATATGACTTCCGCCGACAAAACTATGATGGGCATAACGACAGGTTAATTAAAATTTAATACATTATTATCTTTAAAAAATTAAAATAAGGTTTTGCTTTCTCCCAATTTTATGATTTTCGATTTTCACATTAATTTAATTCAACGGTCTAGGATTTTGTCAGACGTATGAAAGTATGCTTAATGTGAGGATTCGTCTTCATTACTGGCGAGTAACCATTTTGCTAATAGTAAATAAGTATCGGGTCAAGTTAACATAACATCCCCCCCCCCTCAATTATATCAGGTTAAGATCTTCCACCCCAGCTTTCAATTTAAATTAAAATCGCTAAGCCAACTAGTTATGACAAACTTTGTGTTACTGCATGCTGCAAGAATGTTCGTATATCAGGGCAAAACCCTGAAGGTTCTGAATGCACCTTTGGGTCAAATTTTTAAATACAGAGGCGAAACTGCGCTTTGCAAACACAAGCGAGGAAAATGCAAAAAAGACCTTTAAGCAGGCAAAACAAAGTGGAATAAACCAAAATAAAAAACTAAAAAAAACTCAGAAATTTTTTTTTTGCTGTGATTAGGAGAATCACATTCTCATATCTCCTCCAAGATTGCTTGTAATTTTACTAACACTAGCCAACAAAAGAGCAGCTACAGTTTCTATCAAGTTTCCAACGCTATTTAGCAAAAGTTCGACCAAAAAAATCTTTCAATGTTCCGAATTTGAATCTTCGACCTGTTGATATGGAGTTTCACGTCCTGGAATTTGCGCTACGGTTGCTTGGAAATAAACTAGTGGCCAGGCTAATGCTGGATGCGTGTGTTTTAATATTTTAAATCATATTGTACTGATATGTAAATAAGTAACTTTGAAAATTTCAAAAAAAAAATTGAATTTACGCAAAATCCTAGTGATTTCTCTGCTTTAGGCGGCGATTAGCCGCTTATTTCTTATTTTAAAAAGAAAACTACTACTATCTCTTTCAAGTAAATTGTTTCTCTCAGATTTGGCTGGGTAGTTAAAAAGAACCCAAAAAACGATCAAAACTTCAAATTTGGTTTTTCCTAAATCCATAAATTTTCTCTTTTAAAGCATGGAAATGGCCTTTTATGCAGGAAAATTTTTCTCATTTTTCTACAGAACTCCTTATATCAGATATAGCTCGTAGTTTTTGAGAAAAAGGAGGAATTTTCTTGGAAAAATTATTAAAAATTCAAAAAATTGATTTTTCAGAATTCCAAATCGGCTTTTCTACTAACAAGTAGGGTGTAACAGATTATGCAGTCAAATTCTGAACACCATGTTAAAGGATAAACTATCGACCTCAAAATCGACAAGTTAGTTTTTGCAATCATGCAAGCTTTCAAAAATTGGACCTTCTCTAATGCCATATTTTTTCAAAATGTAAGTCATAAACTCTCGCGCAGAAGAGAGTCGCACAGCTGCTTTTTGTTTTCGGTCAAAACTTTAATTTCCAATTTCGCAAATTAGTTTATGAGAAAAGTCAAAAAAGTTTTAAAAAATAACAAATTGCCAAAAATGGGTATGTTTGAGGCCATAATTTTTCTCTACCAAATTTAGGAAACAACCTCTTGCGAACGGTAGATCCCCATAGTTTGCTCTTTTGATTGAAGCTCTTATCTCATATTTGTGCTTTCAATTTTTGAGAAACTGAAAAAATTAAAAAGAGTTAGGTCAAAAGTCCTCCTACTGAACCTTTCGAAGGTCGTAGAACGTGGGGTAAAATGAAAAAAGACCAGCGAAATTTACAGGCACATAGATGAGCAGCAGATTTTTGCATTGGTGCCATTTTTTGAACATCATAACCATAGTTTCAGCGGAAAGTGCGGAATTTTTTCAGCGCGTCGCAAAAAAAAACAAAAAGCAACAAATCCCATACATTTTAACAATACCTTTTTTTTTTCCTCAAACACTAGCCAACAATAAAGCAGCAACTTATGCTATTAGTTGCCTATGCTCAAATAAGCTTAAATACAATTAAATTGAAGTATATCAAGAGTGCAACCAAATGAACATTTTTATTTGCGGCTTAGGTTGGAAAAAAAATTCTTCGTGAAAAACACATCGTTTCGATTGTTCGGAAATGGTAAAAAAATTGATAATTTATTATAAAAATTCTTTTTTTTTTCTTACTTAATTTTACCTCCACTCACGCTATGTAGGTCGCGTATCCTAGCAATAGCACCAAAAGACTTGCCTCAATTGAAGTTGGAACGATTTAATCAAATGCTTACTCCTGTTATAAGAACGCAATATATCGCGCGTTTATCCCAAATTTGCCAAGCTAAAAGTTTTCAAACCCCCATAATTTAACAAAAACCGATGAACAGTTATTGTTTTCTTTAAGCTCAAAAGTCTATGGAGCAGTAACAGCATTAAAAAAATTAAATGAAATAAATTTAAAAAATTTTTTTTTTTCTAAACTCGAGATTTTTTGTACAAAACATCCCTCAACAAGCCATTTGAAGTACAAAGTGACATATTTCGCTCATATTAGCAAATCAATTATGACAAAATAAGGTTCCTTCAACAAATTTGGAACGATTTCTATGACAGATTAAATCTCCACTTACGCGTTAATAGAGCGAAAAATATCGCGCGTTAATTGTCCCATATTGGCCAAGCTGGCAATCAACTTGACAAAAAATGATAACAGGTAAAATATTTTTAAAGTTATTTTAATGTGTTGTGTTTGCTGTTTGTAGTGTGATGAGGAGATCGAAAATAGGCTGGAACTTGGGCATATTTGATACAGAAAGTATCAAATAAGCCTAATAGTTATAGTAAAATCGACATATTCCTCAGAAGTTTTTTTTATAAAGAAGTAGAAAAATGGAGAAAAATTGTTTTGCCGACAACATTTCAAATTAAAAAAATATATATTTTAATCATACTTGCTTTAAAAAAAAATTTTTTTTTCAAAATTTTACTTTACTGGTGTTAAAATATGTTTTAAGGCTAAAACAAAGACTTATCACCTTATTATAAGACTGCTCGCTAGCTTTATTTACTTAAAAATAGACAAAAAATCGGAAATTTTAAACCGTTTTTTCTCAACTGAAAGAATTTTTTGAAAAAAAAAAATTACATGGCGATTTAATCTAGGCTAAGAAAAATGGTTATAAAAACCTGCGGGAAAAAATGTGGCTTTTGCTTGGAAAAACAAATTGAAAAAAAAACTGAAACACAAACGAAGAACAAATTCCTCCACATTTTAGTGGTCGGAACAATGAAGCTAGCAATAAGCAGTAATTATGTCAAACTTTATGAAGCATTGCGCGTGCGGTAATTTTTTTCGAACACTGAAAAAACTCGTGATAAATATTTTCAATAATCAAGTTATACTTTTGAACAAAAACAGCCGTAACATTCGAAGTTTTGCTCTGACAAGCAATTTGGTTCAATTTTTTTTTCATAAACTGTGGGTGCAAAATATGTTATAGGGATTCACATTTATAACCAACAGAGTTACTGGATGATAAGTCATCCGTATTTCTAATAAAGTGATCAAATATTTATGCTTGAATGGTTTTTGTATTCTGACCAATTTTCACTTATACTTACTACATTCCGTCTGAAACAAATTGTTGTTGTTGTCTTGAGCTTAAACGTACAAAGATATTATACCTGTGACTATTTTTTCGTAAAGTTAATGGGGTCTAAAATTAGCCATATCGGGAGGCAGACTATTTCGTTTCCGAAAATAGGCTACTAGACGCTATATGCATCATTTTCACGGCTCGTGGGGTTGGGGGTTCAAGAGAAAAAAAATAAATTTCATGTTTTTCAACATTCACCAATTACTTAAATAAATGAACTATACTCTAAGTGCTGTTTTGCTTGGATAGAAGCAGTCTTGCATGGATTACAATTGAAATATCCACGGTCTTGGAAGAAGTTTGCTCTTCAACAAGACGATAAGTACATTATCAGCATGAAAAACTGGCTTCGAAAACTAATATTATGCTTCGTGTAAAACTGGCTTCGAAAATTAATATTATGCTTTGTGTAAAAAGATATTCACATGATATCATGCAAAATTATGATTATGTTGTCTCGCTCTCTGCTCCAAAAGGTGATCAAGTCTAGGGGGAGGGTTGGGCACTAATTGGATTTTTGGCTAAAAGAAAAGTCGACTTTTCTGTATGAGGAGAGATTCCCCTCCCGTTTCAGCAAAACTAGTGCAGTGATTTTGTTATAGGTATGGGTATGATGGTTACGGTTATGGCTACGATGAGGAGTACCAGTACAGGTACGAGGACTACCAGGAGGACTACGATGAGGACTACAATGGAGGGGGTGGGCGATACCATGACATGTTGGATGGTCATTACTCCTCATACAGGTAAGGCAGATGATTGTATGGCCACACACAACATTCGTACCAGATGGCAATTTTCCTTAGGCCATCCTAGCCGCAGATTCTTTTAATTTGTCAGCAAGGACATCTAAATTACAGTTTGAGATATGATTGTTCAAAGGCAAAATTTGTTCTGAGCTATTCTAGTTCTATGAAACTTAACATATCGAGTCCGTCACCCGGTAAAACGTGTGAGAGTTTTTGTACCAAAGAATGAACATAGAAAACCGATCAAATTGAGTTTCCGAGAACTCTCAAAACCTACCCTCTTTTGATCTGGGTATGTGAAAAAACTTTTAATAATCTTGCAAGAGCACTTGCGTGTAGGATTAAGTACATCTTGATTTTTCTTTCAAGAACCTTGCAACAATTGCATTCCACGTACACTAGAGCCTCTTCTCCAAACCGTACTGTTTTAGTTCACTGGATCCTGAAAAAGAAAACCAGGGCTGGGACCCTGCCATGTTCGTCAAGAAGCTCGAAGCGCAACGAAGGACCATGTGCAACAGAGCGAGTGATTGCACAGTCATGTGCAAGCAGCACCAACCTCACGACTTCAAAGAGAGATTTCCAAATTGCATTCTATATGGAATCTGCACCAATCATTACTGCAGTTGTGGTTGCAAGGACCGAACTGAACTGAGAAAATGAACCAACGTTAATAAAACCATTGTATCCTATGACTCTTCAAAAAGTTTTGAATTTTGGGTGAAACCTTTATATGTCTGTTTTTCTTTTCAGTTTCCTCAAACAATGATTCCCCAGAACTTTAAAAGCATCAAATTTTCCATAAATTGTCAAAGCACAAATTAAACATTCATGTCGAAAAAATTTATCAAATAAAAGACATCTATTTGCGTTGGACCATTGAGTTGCGTTCGGCGGCAATGCAAACGAAGTTAGAGGGGGGCGGGCACTTAAAAACAACAATATGGTTGCTTCAAACCATCCAAACTATTTGGCTTGCGTGAAAAACACGGAAAAAGAAAATGCATGAAAGTAAGTTCGCCTCTTTTATCAGTATTTGGTATACGTCACCCGTCAACTCACAAAATGAAAGTCACGAATACTGATTAAAAGAAAAACCATACAAAAATTCCGAAAACTTCCAGTAACTCGAGAAAAATTTTGCCTAGATTTTTTCTATGAATAAAAGTTTTTTTTTCAGAACTATGAGGTTAGCTCTCACGTGACACATGTGTTTCGTGACGCATGTTTTTGGTTTAATGGTGCCACAGATTTTTTCAATTTTGAGAAACCTCATGGGTCTAATTCGGACTCAGGGGCCAATGTCGTGGACTCAATCCAAGGGCATTATGCACCTGATAAGAAGAGGCTAGAAAGCCAGGTAAAAAAAATTACTTCAAAATGTCGGTGGATTGAGGCCCGCCATGAATTCCTTGGTTGCCAATGAAGCAACATAACTCCGTCCAGAAAGGTACCACAAAAGCAAAATCAGGTACCACAAAAATTAATCAAAATGGTTCGCATGATACATCTATTAAAGCTAGTTAAGCCGTGATTCACACGACATCAAAAAGTTTCGAAAATTTTGTTGGGAAAAACAGGCCTACAAATTTCGAATTTTAGTCTAATTTCGAGCGAGTAATACGATCGAGAAATCTTCTGTATTTGAAAATTGCTCGTTTAGGCTCAGAAATTTAAATTTACTGCAAGGAAAATTACGAGGAGCGGCGGGGAAGTGGTTACGTGTCTCCGCCTCTCAATCGAGGCCCACCATGATCAGTGCCCGCTGATTGAGGATGAGAAAAACAACCAAAAAAAATTGCATGTAGTTCTTAAGTGATGAGCTGTAGAGTTCGTATGTTGGTCGTTTCCCTCGTGGATAAATGATCTTAACGGTTTTAAGAACTTCAGTTTGCACTTTTTTGTTTAAAAAAATAATGATGAAAAAAATAATCCCGATCTGAGCGAGATCGGGATTATTTCAAAAAAAATTATCTTTCAAATAATCCTGATCTGACGGAAAAATCCAAATTTTTGTCATTTTACAATACGCATAAAAAAATCAATCAATCATTGAGAGCATTAGCTACGCAGAATTTGACTGGTGGCCCAGCAGTTTACGGTTCCAAAAATGAAAAAAGGTACAAATTTGAATGAGCGTGATGTTGAAAATTGTTTGAAATTTAAGGCGGATTTCACAAAAATTTATGGGCCAAAAACAACTCATACACACAACTACCAACGATTGCGCATTATTTTAGCGAAATTTGTTGTATGAACGTATCAGTCTGAATCGATAAAATTGTTCACTTTAACGATGGATTTCTTTTGCTTTGCGTAAATCTCCCTTTGATCGTGTACAGACAATAAAATCAAGCACTGCTCAATAGGCAAGATTTGATGATTCTTGTTTAACCCAAGACACCTAACTAAAGTTGGACCGATGAGGGAAAAGACTCTGAGGGATCAATGAGATTTTAGCAGAGTTATGAACATTGAAATTTTTCACACTTTCAGCAGAGATACAAAAATATTGGTATCAATTGACTATTATTACAAACGAGAGACAATTCCCACCGTTTCCGTTGATGGAAGTGGTTGCAAGTTTTGTGAAAAACATTCCCAACATTTACTCAGGTTTACAGTGTTCGGAATTAAAAATTGAAGCAACAATAAAAGCTGACCGCAAAAGTTTGCATTCTGTAAAACTACTTTGCACTAATTTTTTCCCATTCACGGCGTGACTTTGAACAAGGAAAACGTCCACCTTTGAAACAAATTAAACGCCTATACAAAATTTCATGAGACCGAGTTTTCTCATGCCGAGGGCTGCGTAAAAACTAAACTAGCTGATCAAGAAGTTTACTCCTATGAAATAAATCCTTCGTCTTAAAGTAATGATTAAATTAACCATGATCGCCATCTTACAGTGGACAGAAATATCTCGAAGTCGTGTTTTTTACGGAAAACTAGTTGCTAATTTGTTCGCCACGGATCAATTTTTGATCCCTAACAGCAACTTAAGTGTACGGCTCACTAGTTTGATATCAAATTTTTTTTCGGAAAACTCAAAATACTAGTCCAAAAATTTCAGTTCGAATGAGACGCAAGTAAGCTTTTGCGACATGTTATACGGTGTCTGCAGACACTTCAATGCAAGATGAATTAAGGAAATGGCCCGCCATATAAAATTATAACAAGGCAAAAAGATTTTTTAAGGTAATAATCACGGCTCAGACTCGGTTCGGGAGAAAATTTACAATTTGAGCTCACACGACGGCTGGTAATTGTCAGGTGTCTTGTCCTAAAGCTATTTCTAATGGTCAGTGAACAGCAAATCCACTGCAATTTTTGAAACGTAATTTAACATCAAAACATTTTGTTTGAAATGGTTTTGACATTGTAGACTATGACACAATTGATTATCAGCAAGTCTACTATAAAACAATTATGATTTTTTTTTCTATTTAATTTGCAAAGAAGTGTTTGGACAAAATATCCCTGTAATTGTTTGAAAGGATTTAACACTAATACGTGTGATGTATTCATTTTTGTAAAAAAAAAACGAAACTTAAACTAATTAGATCATTGCAAATCAAATATTTTGTTTCCTGGATTTAGTCTGAGACTTTAAATAAGTGTAGAGTTAGTTTTACAATTCCAGCGCTGATAAAATTTTTGAATAATTCTTGTATATCACGAACTATTTTTGATTTGAAAATTATATTTTCTTATAATTTTCCGAAATGAGATTTTGTTAAAATTCTCCGAATCAAAAATCCGTGTTGAGCTCAATGCATTTTTTTGATATGCTGCAATTTTGCTTAAAATAGCAGAAGTTGATATTTAGTATCACGAACTAAACCGTACTCCACAATGTTTGAATTTTACCAAAATCCGGCGGTTCAGATGGTTTAAGTTTGTCCTACAAAAAAAATCACGAGCCCCAGAATCTAGACCCAGTATTTGACATAAGTCGGACGGTTCAGCTGATAAATTTATTTCTTCTCTCTGTTCTCTTTCGTAAACGTGATTTTCTATTTTTTCTGTTGTCTCGTTAATTTTTGGTGTAAAGTTTTGTTCGTAGGAAATTTTTTTTCATAGTCCTAATGCATCAGCATAACTTTGGAGGCAAGGCTGAAACCTTCTTTGATGCGGTATCTTAAAAAAAACCGAGTTAGTTGTTTTTGGATCCCTCTTTTGTTTTGATTTTCAAAAAAAAACAAACGATCCATGTATGACGTTTTAAGTTTATTAAGATATGTGATTTCCCTGAGCGCTGTTTCACCAGTTGGCGCTAAAAAAACTTATTCCGTCAGAAAACTAGAAAAAAACGTTAGTGTGTTATCTGGATAATATTTCAGACTTGCATGTATTAGTAATTCAAGGAAAAAAGACTGTCAGAGCAACTGATTTGTAGTAGATGAATGAGTACAAATTTGAACAATGTACACAATGAGTTTTGGACAAACAGCATTATCTAACTAATTGATTCAAAAATTAGCACTTACCTGTTTGAACTATCAGAGTGAGTTCTTTCTTGGCACACATATTTTCCGTGGACACGTGGTTAGCTTTTATTCGCGAACTTAAAGCAATAAGGGAAGAATGGAATGGGGTGACCAACATAAGTTTACAACCTCTTACGCTTTTTATTAAATTGCACTGATAATTCCGATTAGCCATCAGTTTTAGTTTTTTGAACAGATCGAAGAATTAAAACATCAAGACTTCGATATTTATAATCAATTAAATAAACAATTTTTTAATTTTTCTGGTTTGGTGAAGTTAATAAGTTTATACGCTCACGTTGTATCCAAAGAGTTGATGTTTAAATGAGTTGCTTTGAGATTTATGACGATTTCGGCCGAAAAAGATGAGATTGTGTTCATTATAAATGTATTTTTCATTATAAACAAGCTACTAATTTGATTCGGAGTTAAAACCAGATAAATGAAAAAGTAAATGTCATTACAAATCATGGTAAACGCGGAAACTGTAAGTTTCCACGCGTCAAAAAAGTTGTCTATAGATTGTTAACCTTTTTTCACTTCAGTCGGACCATTTTTTACCCTGGTATTAAAAAGATTAGCTTTTCTAAGGAAACTTATGTATTTTAAATCTTTTATAAAACTGTCATTCTCAAAATACTCTTTTCTTCTAGAGAAGTTTTATGAAAAAATTCTGAATGAGAAAAGTTTGCAACAATTTTTTACGTAATTTTTCATTTTTAAAAGTTTCTAATGGACTGGAACCATCCAAGAGTGTTAAGAAAATTCTGAAAATCTAGAATCAAAAAGAATTTTTCTGGAAAACTTTATTTGACTGAAACTTTATTTAAAAATGTTTTAATTGTCATATCTCGATAATTTTGTATTTTGAGAAGTTCCATTGGACAGCACCAACAGCACCACAACAGGGTTTAAAATTTCAAACTTTACAGAATTTTTTATCTAAGTTTATTGGAAACTTCTGAATAAATCATACAAAAGTGTCGTATCTTGGATGTGAAAAAGGTTGAGTAATGAAGTTTGGATGGGGTTAGCTTTGCATACACTGGATGCACCCTGACATTCCCCCCAAAAGAATTGAAAATTCCAAACTTTGTTTTTCATGTCTTACTTTTTGAATTTGAACAGTCGTACTTGAAAGCTACACCTGTAGCTCCTAAGAAAATCCTGATATCAACCCACTATAAGGTCAAGAAATTCAAATTGTGAGAACTATTCTCCTTGATCTAAATTTTTTGAAATAATTGTAAGCCCCATTTATCAGAAAATAGAAAGATATGAACAGTCAAATTTGGATGCCAGATTTGCAAATCTTGGGATTACCTCGAAAGCACTCTATTAGTGTTGAGAGTTTATATTTTGAATAGTATTTTCTTTTTAATCTAATTTTTTTTTTTAATATTTTTCAATAAATCATTTGAATCGTCGAAGCGCCGAAACTTAATTAAGTTAAGTTTGAAGGCCTGATTGGTCACCTTCGCCTGCTTTTTGAAAGTGTGCGTTGCGAAGAAAGGTGAAAAATCTGTACCTAAAGCATTCACGCTCCCTTAGATGTATGGGGAAATTCGTAGCTGGCCTTGCAAATTTTCTTTTGATTGTTCGTATGGATAAAAAGACTTTGTTTTTGTTTACTTCATCATTTGCATAGAATAATTTAAATCGTTGAAATCAGTAAACCTACTAAATGTTGCAACATATTGGCATGTTAACTTGTCAATTCAGGGACTCTTTTTTTTTATCAGACCCCAGCCGTACATCTACCTTTCTAGCATGGGCATTTCTCCAGATGGGGAGAGAGACTTCATCCATTTTGCCGTAACCGGACTCACCCCTCCAACATGCATTAAGTGAAACGCCTCACGTGTTAAAATGCCCAAGAAAATGCTCTAATTGCTTTTAAATGCGAGACTTGCGTTAAAAAAGTGGTCTAACTGTATAAAACTATGCTTGCAACCTCGCTTTCAGAAAAAAATGCGAGAAATTAAGACTCCGTTTTCTCAACACAGGAAATTCGAAAATCTTTTCTAAATTCTTTTTGAAAAGGATCAAATTAAAACTGAAAAGCCTTCAATATGGCACCTAACTGATATGCAAGAAAAATTCCACCTAAACATAGATTCATTTTTAAGCTACGATGACTGGGTAAATGATTTAGCTTTCTTACGAAATAACAATAATTACACATCATATATCTTGCAAAACAAAACTGAGCATTCAATTGTGAATTTATAAAATAATAGATTACAGCATTAACATATCAATCAATCAGTCTCTAATTTTATAAATTTGGCATAAAAATTTACATAAACATCTACCGGGGCAAGCTATAAAACATATTATGATACAGTTCATTCGACTTCAAAAAATGATTTCAAAAACTTGAAGGAATGTCCCTGATGAATTTAACCTTTGATGCCTGAAGACTTTCTTTCAATTGAACTCTGTCCGCTTCGCAATCCAAACCTGCATTCAGAATCCGTGCACTTAAATTGCACAATTCCTGTATCACCGAGACCCAATTGCTCCAAGACTGAACATGATAGGATGATTTGTGCGCCGTGCTGTGATTGGTCAGTTTCTGTTTGATCTGGTTGAGAACTAATGAAACCATTGGTTCCGCAAATGGTGATTCAATTGCAGAAATGAACATGAGGGAAATAATATTACAGGCGTCTTCAGAAACCGTCAGTGGGGTAATAATACTCGGCAACGGCGGCCACAAAAGTTCAAAAAGAACTTTTTCGCTGTTCGTTTTGATCAAATCTTGGAATATTTCGAAGACCAGAAACGCGCAGCAACTCTGGCTGAAACTACTGCGGTGTTTTTGTAGCAGACTGGTCGCTTTGTAGAACCGTTCGTGAAGGTTCAGATAATCAATCATCAGCCGACCTAACGGGCGAACAATTATCAGGGCATGCTGGGCGGACGAAAACTCAAATTTTTCAATAATTCGAGTCACTCTTTCGATCGAGTCAATTGAAATATTTTCATCTGATTCAAGATTATGAACTGCGGGTGGATAGTAACTGTATATACAAGACAGAAGCAAGCTCAAACTGAAACGGATCATCGTTTTTGTGGATGCATTTTTGATATGTTCGAAGCAGGTTTTGATCACGAAATCGGCCACTTTCCGATTGAGCGATTGGCTAATTACTAGTTCGTCAATTCGAGTGAAAATAGCACAGAAGACATTTTTAGTACAAATGTTGGAGTATACTAAAAACATTTGAACAGCTGTTGACACAAACTCCGAGTCTCGTAGCTCTGTTATGAAGTTAGTAATAGTATCGAAAGTTAAAGCGACTAAGGATAGCATGTAATGCTGGGAAGGTCTTGAGGCGGCAACTGAGGTCGCGGCCGTGATTCGGTTCAAAATGTACAACTGAATATGATTAGTCACAATTGGACGAAGAATATTCTGGTTTTTACCTGCACACTTCATCAGCAGACTTAGGCCGCAGAGCGTTGTCGTTTCGATTGACAACATCGAACTATTCAGACCCGACACGAAAATCGAGATCAAATGGTCAATTTCTTCTGCATGTCTTTCTATATCAGTTGTTGCATTTATACTCTGACACAGAAGTGGTATAGTATACAATGCTGTCAATTCGTCTTCAGGGGGTAGGGTTCGATGCAGATTACTTATCAATACATACAACCAGTCGAACTGATTTGTGTCTACAAAGAGATTCGACAATAGGATCAGGCCCTTAAACACGTCACATGTAACTGACGTCGGAATTGTTGAATCTGTCAGCCAATGATGACATTGCTCATTAAGCAGAACAACACACGAATTTAGATCTACCTTTACATGTTCAACCACACTTTCAGGCAAATGGGCGAACACGCTTTGCGACAGCAATTCTGCAAAATGAACACTCGACGATTTGACAACTCCTTTGAACTGCGACGTTAACTGGCGCTTCAGTTTCGCCACACTTGCGTAGTGAATTTCCGGAGTGACTCTTCTGCCCGAATTGAACTTAGAAGTCCTCGAAGCCGAAAACGGGATTCCAGGTGAGACCAAAGAAGGATTCCCCGGAAGCAAGGTGCGCATAGCAACTGCAACTAGACTTATAATGGCGTTGAACGACATTTTTCTTATTTTCCACTTTTCCTCCAAGAGATCTATTTCCTCTTCGTTGCTTGAGTTCAAAACCGACAAATAAATCATCCAGATTTCTTCGAACGATTGTCGACTCACCCATCCAAAAACTTCGACTCGGGTTTGGAAATCGTAGAATATGTCGGGATCCAAAAGAAAAGATGCATCCATGTTTGGCGGCCGATCCTTTATCGACTCGACTGAGAACCCTTTAGACCACATATCTTTTGGAACCCTACAAACTTCAATCAAATCTGGGTGTCTGCATAAAGATGCAAAAGCGTTTTTCAAATAAGAAGCCAACTCGTTACTCGGATTTTGAGCATGTAACAACAACACACATTCGCTGCTTTCACGAATTGTGACAACGTCGTCATCTTTTTGAGGAACTTTTGACGTCGGGAAACAATCAGGAATTATGTTTCTGGTTAGAAGCATTAACAGCTTGCATAGTTTCAAACATCTTCCAGGCTCCCCTTTTTCGACAATTTGAGTTAAGACTGCAACATTAGGTACAAATTGCAGAAACTTGACCAGGTCCAGACAATTATGGGGGCGAGCATTGGCGTTTATGGTGTAATATTCTAGAACGACTTGGACCATATTCAACAACAATCCCCCAAACGGTGCCAATTTTTCAATCCACGAAGCATTCAGAATCAAAAAATGTTCCAAACAATTCATGAAAACATTTATCTCTTCTAAGCTATTCAAGCCATCTGAGCTTTCGTTTAACTTGCTCAGAAACCGTTTTGTTTTGGCGACGAAAATATCAGAGATAAATTCAACTAGCTGGATATTTGGTGCATTATTCTGAGATTGCTGCTCATTTAGATGACGTTGATACAAGCATACGATGAGACCAAACGTATTATCAGACCCTGAAAGATAAGACATAGCATCATCTAAATCCAGCGCATAAATGAACTTTGAGTGATCCTCGTTTGAAATTTTATCTCGGTTTTTTGTCAGAAACGTTTGTGTAAATGCAACATCAAAGCTTTCAAAATCGGATAGCAAAACCTGAGATTGTTTCAAAATTTCTCCGTCTTTGAGAAATTGAGAATTTTCGTTTGAAAGCTTTTGGAAATAAAGGGACAACTGGTCGATCAGATCGGGGAACTTTTTAAGAAATTTCATTGGATAAAGTCTTCTTGCGACTAAATCTAGGTCTTCTATGGGCGGTTGATCGCAAGTAGTCGAGTTAGCCAAATGCTGTAACTTGGCTATTACAATATTCACGACTCCGCGTTGGAATACCAAATCCGAGTTATTGATCAAACTCTCATTTGCGCACAACAGAAGGAGTACTTTGTGTGATATAGTTGGATGAAGTGCTTTGACGACAGTCAAGAACTTATTTTTAGCCGACGAATTCACAATTGAATTTATAATCAAATCGTCTTGTAGTTTCTGAACGAACAATGCGCTCAGCGCCGGCTGCTGATAGACGAGTCCTAAGAAATCCGAAACGGGGGGTTCCTCTGCCAATATGCAAACGTCTCTCAGGTGGTTCAAAATTACCCACGACATCGGTTCTGTATCTTTATTTGCAGTAGCCACGGCTGAATCGACCAATAACAAGAAACAAGACTTGATCAACAAAGTCTGAGATGGCGAATGACTGGCCTTACTTGAATCCGAGTTCAAAATCGAGGGCCACCAGCTATGATCTTTCGTGTATCCAACCGAGAATAGAATATCACACCATTGCAAGAATATGTAGGGATGGAAAGGAACTAAGAGCCGTTTCAGTTTTTCATTCATAGTTATCACGTTTGTAGAAAGAACGTAAGATATTTGCGCTCCATTTATCAAACGGGCGAAACTTTCTGCTATTTTTTTGGCCAGTGGAGATGATGACTTTATGAGAAATTGCAAATGTTGCAAAAATTTGAATATTTGTGGAGCAACTTGATTGATGTCAAAATCGAATGTTTCGAATGCGCTTAGTGTCGATACAACATGGAGTATTTGATTTGCTATCATTTCTCCTGGTTTTTCACACTTGAATAACGGCGAGGAATCCGATACAGCTCTCGTTTTGACTTCTTTGACTTTACTAAGAAAAGACTCGTCCTGAGACTGACGACACATTACATTAACTAAACTAGTCAGAATCGATAAGAAGTTCTTGAAATTGCGCAAGGAATCCGTAGGCGGTGGCTTGAAAAACAGTCGCAATAAGTTTTCAGAATTAATCAAACCAACAGAGGGATGAAGCAAACATACCAACATCTGCAATCTCTCAATGTCCAGGACTGTTTCGAAGTTTATTTCACCGTTTTCCAAAAGTGGGACTATGTTATCCGAACACTGTCTTGAAAAAGTTTTATGTTGCATTTCGCCTTCGTGCTTCGCATGTCTTAACGCAACAATAACTAAATCCCAGGCTTCGGGATAATCGCTCAGTTGTAATAGGAGGACACTTATGATCTGACGAGCCGCTTTGGATCCGCTGGTTTCCAAGTTATTACTAGTGGCCAATTGCTCTTCCGGGTCATTGATTGAAATTCCTCTTCGCGCAAACAGATCATGAACAACTGGTCTCAAAACCGAAATCGAAACTTTGTTATCCACTTTTGACAGAGCAGAGCAATGTTGTGTTATCTTTTCTAAGTAGATAATCGGTTTTCCTTCGTACTTTTGGTGACTCAGCTGAATGAAAAACGACATCGCATGTCCCATTAAGTCAGAATGAAATGGAGCCAATTCGCCTCTCAATTCGGAGAAAACAGCCAGTTGATCGCTCAGAAATTTCAGAAAACTGTGCTCATTATCCAACAAGTTATAGTTGACTTTCAAGTTGATCAACTGGCAAAGAAGTTCAATGACCAGTAAACGATCGCACGGTCTACTTGAGCTGCTGTATTTCCTAAGACTGTTCAAAACTAAACTCTCAAAGCTTTTGATGTGCTGGTTCACAAGAGGCATCCGATTTTGAAACTGGCCAAGTCTTCCTGTTTTTTGTTTCAATTCTCGTTTTAGGTTCACTTGACTTGGATCTCCGTTTGAACTTGCGTCAGGTGCTAAGTCCTGAGTGAATCTCATGTAAGGATCGGTGAACGTCGAGGTGTAGAGATACATGACATCACGTTCACGCCTCGTTTTTCCAGAATACCCTGGATCTATAAGTTGGGCTGGGTTATGACATACACTGGTTCCAAATACACTGTGGAATAGATTCTGTACGCATGTTATTGCCTTAACTGGCGTCAGATTCAAGCACAATTCAACTTGCCTCAAAATAGTATCTACATACAGTGATATTTCCCTGGTGCTAGCATAATGAAAAAGGCTTCCAATGCTGCTGAGCACTGATGAGGTAAAAATAATGAACTTATCATTTTGACTTGTCAAGCTAGATACTTTCAGACTTCGATTCATACTTGAGAGAATTTCAAAAAGGAGCATTAGGTTTGAATCATGAGAAAAGGAACTGTCCAGAGGCTTCGGAGGCGTTGGAGCCGAGGGCGCACTGGATCCTGACGTGAACATCGATATCGACTCTTTCTTGGCTTCTTCCAGAAACTTTGTTGGCAAAGATGGTAAAGTAACATTTGTATTTCTGGCTTTAGTAACCGCGGTTTCTACTAACTTCTGACCTTTCTTTCTGATCGGACTTGGAATGGTTGCGGTGTTTGGGAAGTATGACGGTAAAGAAGTCAAATTTGTAGGTAGCTTGGGGTATCCACTTTTAACTGGGGATGTTGCGGGTTCTTTGTTCCTCAAAACGTGATCTACGACATTCAAACATTTCAATAGATGATGAAACAAAGTTCCAAATAAAGAAGACAAAATTTCATCACTAATCGCGGGCCAATCTCGAACTGCTTTCATGGAGTCGTCAAAAACTTGGGGGTTTTCTAGGAACCCAATGACTGTCGAGGTCAGCAAGCTTGTTACGATGTCAAGCAAGTAAGCATGAGTTACAACGTTTGTACAAAATGAGGAACTAAGCAGATTCAGACAAATTTTTATGTTCCCGAATTTCTCGGATGAATTCATATCGGACCTTTCAGGGGTCGGGCACATTTGCCAAGAACTTGGATAATTTCTAGGTTCATAAAGCTGACTTAGCTTGCGCAAAGTTTGAAGGATTCCATTTAAGGCATTTGGATCATTTACTTCATTTAGACTGTTAAATAACATGTTGATGACGAAAGAGAGCTTTTGAGTTAATTTCGTAGCAGATTCACTATCGTCGATTCGCGAGTAACTTTTTTGAAAGTGCATTGATTTATCTACTGCGTATATTTCTGGAATCGGTTTGAAACTGGGACAGTATTTACTATGAAGATTAGTTGAAAAATTCACCAACGATTCATGCGAGTGTGTGAACGTGTTTGACATGGGCAGACATATTTTTTCCACCATTGTGGCTAAAATTTTTGAAGCATTATCTCTCAAGTTTTGATTAGAGCTTTGAATTTGCTCAGCCACAAACTGTAAAATCTGATTTTGAAGACTGAATTCTGGACTTGATTTATATGAACAGTTCGCCTCGTGGAAGAGTAAATTATTGAAATCCACATTTTGGAGAAATTCCAACGCCGAGAGCTTAATAAGCCAGTAGTTTTGCGATTTGAGAAACAATACTGCTTCTATTATGTCAACTAGCAAGGCCGAGTGAGGGCAAATTTCCATCATAAGTTGAATGTTCGAAGCTAAAACAGTCAAAGCTGACCGAACAACCGGTGCTTCCGGGTCGGAAATAGCCTTGATCAAGGCTTCAATGCTTCGCGGAAATGCAGCCGCTTCAAGACAAAGTCCCTCTAAAAATGATTTCACGATTGCGCCATAGATGTTTACGCAACCAGATCGAACCTGTGGGTCCGCATGGGTAGCAAAAAGGTACACATCATCTATAAACTGAATCTGAGCTTCGGAGTTTGAACTTGCACTCAAAAAGATCTGCAAATCTTTTATGTCTTCCAAAGCACAAAGCTGCGCCACAATTTGCAACGCTAGACATTTTATACTGACTCTAACTTCGTTGTCTGGTTTGAGTTTTGATTTCTCACCCGCGAGTAGAAAATCAGAGCAAATTAGCCTCAAAGCGTATGTTGCAGGTGTTTGTACATTCGAGGAGTAAGTTCCAATGTCAACTCCTGATTCTGGCCCTTGATTTTCCGGAGACCCATAATATGACTCCGTCATATAATCCGAGACCAAATCTGGGAACTCATTTTGATCTACATTTTCTTCGCTCTGTTTTGCATATAAGTCATCCTTCGTCGTTAATGCTCGGATTTTTTCGGGGATATCTTCCATGGACGAAGCTGTTGATCCGGCAATACTACTCGTCATTTGATCGCCACTCGGAACACTGCCGGCACTTTCCACATTTTGCTTCCGGTCAGCCAGTTTATTCGTGAACAAAGGAACATCCGCGCGTGCATTGTCCTCGAGATTCTGAAAACTTGAAGCAAGACCCGATGCGCTCGTTTCACGAGTTAATGTCTCTGTTGGCGACCAGGATAACACGTCTTCAGGATTGTCGTTTATTTGCTCTCGAGGAATTCCCCCTCGCCTCGTTAGAACTCGTTTCAGACCAAATGGACACATTTTCAGCAACGCCAACAGTGCTTCCAAAGCTGCAGTTTTTACTACACTACTTGCATGTTTGCAAAGATGACAACACACTTCGAAACACAAAGTCAAAATTGGAATCAGCGACGAGGCGTTTTCTAATTCGAATGAACATTTCTTTGCATCTATGATTGACAACAGGTGTCGGAGGCATATCAAACTTCCAACTAGACTGTCTACTCCCAAAGATTCTTGGTTTAGAGGCAAAATTTTGGAAAGAATGTTTTTCATAGCATGAAGGGTATTTACGATTGGTAAAGCTGAATGTCTACATAGATGGTAAATAGCCAATGATGCCGATCTCCTAGAAACGGCATTTTTGGATCCCAGATTGCCTAAAAAAGGTAATGTAATTGCCGATACATCCTTATGATTCAATCCGCATCCGACAATCGAATACACTTTGTCAATAAAAACAGGCAGTGTCTCCAAAACAGCCTCGTTTTCATTTACAGCCAATCGAGAGATCTCTTGGCCGAAGCTGGCTTGAATTATGTAGAATTTCTGGGGCTGAAGGTAGGGCACCAAGTCTGCAATGTGACTCAGAGCAGCTTTAAGAGATCTCGGGTTCTCACATCGTTTCAGCTCCTTGAAAATGTTCGCCAAGATTTTGAAATAGAAATTAATTTTCGCTTTTGAAATTTTCTCCAAACATTCTGCAGCGTTTGATCGTACATCACTATTTGTGTCTCCACAGTACACCAAAATGACTTCAATCACAGTTGCCAAAACTTGCGAGAAATCTTGAATTCGGTTGTCATTAAAGTCGCAAACAAAATCCGTGACAATTGTCAAATGCAGAATTTTTTCGTCTTTCCGGTCAGTATCGTTTTTATCAGTCAAGTAAACTCGCAAAATTTCAATAGATTTCGCGAATTTTTCCATGCTTAGCCTGAAATCCATTATAAATATTCACACAGTACATAAAAACTGTACGAGTAACAAAATAATCAAATAGCGGAATGTCTTGAATATGATCAAGGCAATTACGCAACGCAGATTTGTATGAAGTAATTAAACTCTGGTCGAAATTATTTAGTATAAAAATATTCACGCTGTTATTGCCGTAATAAATCTGAATATAATCAATCAGCAGCGTATGTTTCCCTATCACAACTAACGGTGCAGCAGCAAAGAAAAACTCATAAAATAGGGCTTTGCCTCAAACATATATACCAGATTGATTCTAGATTCTAACCTTAAAATGGACAAAAAACGGATATCATGCGAAAAGCCAAGGCAATGAATCGTCGAAACTCACAATGCAAGCATCCGAAAAAGCAATCACCAAAGATTGAAATACTTGGTTGATTAAAAAATCAACATTTTCCATTCTCTATCGCACAATAACTACGGATAATGAACAAAGAATTCAAAACGGTTATATTTGCTGTTTTCGAAAAAGACTAAAACAAAAATTTCGACAATAGGAAATCAAAAGAGCGAGAAGCAACAGCAAAACAAAGCCAACAGGGAGTTGGAAAACAGTCAATGAACGCAAGGAAATATAAAAAGATTTATTTTTTGAAATTGAATTGAACTCAAATAGTGCATATAAACCTATAAGCATTAATAAATGCAATGATATGTATGAATGCACTTCTGTAAAACATTAGAGCATTTAAGACTTGACCTTAAAAAATCATCACGACTTATATAAGAGTCTGAACTACGTTCAACGACTCTTGAAAAACCAAAAACAGCTACTTTTTGAATTTTTCCTCTAATTATTTCTTCAGAAATGTACCGTGAAAACTGACAATTGTAAACATAACCAACAGCCAGTTGAAAAAGAGTCAAAGAACGCAAGTAAACAGAAAAAAAACTTAAATTTCAAAATAAAAAATAGATGATCTTAAAACTCTTTGAAATTCAAGAACAAGTTATGATTCGCCCTTTTTTGATAAAGTTAACCGAATTTGAGAAAACTGGATTATTGGGTACAAATTTTTATTCCGCTCCAAAATCTGAAAACCAAATTCCACTTTCGAAATGAAATTGATCACGTTTTTTGTGACCTTTATACCCTTTTGCTGTTGTGACCCTTTTTGCTGTTTGATAGGGGAGTTTGCCTTTCTTTTAACAAAAAAAAATGAACTGAACTTGAAAATAAACCATAATTCAAACTGCAAAAAAGTAAATTTTAGCCTGAACTTTTTTAAGACTTTGATTTTTAAGAAGGAAATTTTAAGACTTTTACAGAAAAAAAATCATCGCGACCTATATAAGAGTCTGAATTACGTTCATCGACTGTCAATTAGCTTTCACTATCAATTTCATTCATTAACCGAAATCGTTATAGCAAAAAACTTTTAGAGGTGCCTAAATTCAAACAGTTGATACGCATATCATAATCACGTTGAGCTGGTGCTTTTCAATTCGCCTGGCGCTTCAAATAAACATAGCCAACTGACAGTTGGAAAAAAAAGAGTAATGAACGCAATGAAACTGCAACAAAGACTGACTTGGTTTTTTTTCAAAAACATTCAAATTTTAAGTTTCTAAAAAAATAAATGGCCTTAAAGCTCTTTGGATCCTTTTAACTTTAAGACTCATGAAAAAAATCATCGTGACCTAACAAGAGTCTGAACTACGTCAACCGACTCTTAAAAAGCACGATTCTACTACAAGATTCGAAACAGGGACCTCTAGAATAGGCGCCATGCGTCTTGACAGCAGCGCAACCTTGCCTTAGTCTACAAAAATTCATACTTCAATAATCAACACCAGGCAGCTCTTCTTCCCTTTCTTCTCCCTACATACGTCACTAAAGCGAACTGTTTAAAACATTTTCAAAATTATTATTGAATTGCAACAACTCACGGACAAATGAAATTTATAGTTACCTATTTTTCTATAAATGTTGCTAAATTTATGCAGCAACTGAGCAATAAATTAAATAAATAGACGATAAATTACAGCACAATGCAATTATTGCACATCTTGATACTTAAAATGAAATGAGAATACAAGATAAGAGTAAGCGGCAGCAATAAATTAGAAGTATGAAAGCTGCAATTATACTGAATAAGTTAATAAATTCATTCAGGTCTTACTTTTGCCATGATACGATATCATGTCGCTAATTTTCAAATCAATTTTTGAGCTTCTAAAATAAATTAGCCTTTTGCCAAGTTAGCATGAAAGCAAGAAAAGACGCTAAAAGACGCTCGCGAAGCCCCAGAAAATCAATATCTCATGTTTTCTTTTTGACAGAGATTTTAAGGAAAAGTTAAGACCGCAATTGCAAACTACGATTAATATAGATGATTGAATACTTAAATTAGACTTCTTTCAAGTTTTACTTGCTTCGAAGCTTTTTCAATTTGGATTTCGTTTTGGAGAGAGTAACTAGAAAATATTTGTTATAGAGTATCATAGAATATACACACATGATTGCGGCCAGTAGCTGGAGAGCGAGCCAGTAGACTACGTGCAATGGTCGCACAACAGCAAATATTTCGTCCCAGCCGAATCTAGCCACTCCGAACAACTCGACTGCTGTGATTGCAATGAACACCCACGCTTGCGTTCCCAGACGGTTACACCTGTTTTGGAATAAATTTGTTTTATGAAAACTGATATTTCAATGAACTGTAACAAATTTAATCATTTTCATCAAGAACACAAACCTTCTACGATATCGGAGGATCTTGTAGGAGCTTCGCTAGGGTGGGTTCAGATTTTCAAAAAAATTTGAAAAAATGGTCATATTTTTTAGGCCAGCAAAAATTATTTTGCTTAGCTCTTCCTAAACACTTAACAATCAATGTTTGACAAAGACCAGAGTTTTTAGGTGCGCGCTCCCCTTAAAATTGGTAAAAGTGCGCATGATTTTATGTTCCGTACCTGACATCCGTGGTATATGTGTAGTACTGTCTGACAGTGGGACATACACAGAACCCGAGGAGGACGAGACGACCCCAGTTAAACACGTGCTCTGTGGGGATCCTAAAGATGTGTTTCAGACAGAAACAGTTCAGCTCAGTTATCTGAAATAGAAAAAATTTAGAAATGAAAGCTCCGAATAAATAATCTCTTCGTGTAATAAAGGATTTAACTGCCCCCTTTCCTGAGGTACCTAGTAAATAATATCAACCCACCCCTATAAAGAACAATTTCAAAAATAAAGCAAGTATGAATTTGTATTGTACCTAGTACGTATCTTCCCTCTATTCAAAAACGGGGGGGGGGGGGGGGGTAAGGAAATAGTGAAAGAGATCGCATGGGATTTAGGAACTTAGACGACAGGAAATAAGACAATCACTTGCGTGCAAATTGCGTGAAACTTGTTTACAGACTTAAACTATCTTTTGGCTGAGTAAATACTGGTTGTGTCCAATTTAGACAATAACTTGCGAGCAAATTGCGTGTTTTGTTTACTGACTTAAATTTACTTTCGGCTGAGTAAATACTGGTAGTCCGTAAATTCCGTTTCTTTACGGTAGTCTAATTTGCTTGTCGTCTAACTTCCTAGGCCCCAGATCGTATTTTAATTTTTTTAATGATAAAACCAGAACCAAAACTCATATACGTCAGCCAGAATCTGAAATCGAGGCTAATTAAATCAGATCCACAATATAGAGAAATGTAAAAAGTTAGAACATGCAGAATTAACAAAATGGAGCAAATGAAATATTTCAGAAAGCTATTGCATACAAACGCCAATTTTCCAAGCAGAATATACATCTCAAGTCGGCTGAAATTTCAAGTTTGCATGAAAATTTTATTTAAATTTACCAGGTTGCTCTTTATAATTAATTCTTTCTATTCCAACTTTTTTGATTCTTATAATAGAATTACTAACTTGACACAAAAGTAGAATGATGAAGACTAGCATGATTCTGTTCCACACGTACTGCGGGTCACGTGCCATCTGAGACAGCCTAGTCCCGTAACTCTCATCCCCGTTGCCAGCACCATTAACACCCCCGTTGCCGTTTTCATTATTGGAGTAGGAAGTTGCACTGTAATGAGACCTCTTGACAGGTGACACAGACCTAGATGATCAGATATTCAACTAATGGTCACATTATTTTTTGAGGTAATTATTTGAGGCAAAATCAAAATCTAACAACAATAAGTTTTAGTTTTTTGACGACAGCTTGGTAAAAACATATTCGACTGAACTTGACTTTGATTAGATTACAGTGAGTGCTAATTCAGCATCTTCGATGATGACCAGGAGGAAGGGCACTTTATCACGTGCTGTGATGAGCAAGCGATCTAAAGGTGGCTTAACATGGCAACAGACAATTGGAAAAAAGCCAACTTCAAAAACGTCAAATTCGAATTTCAAAGGAAAAAAAATAGCCTTAAAGCTCTTTGAAATTCTGGAACAATTTATGATTGACACTTTTTTGACAAACTGACAAAACTAACCACCTTTGAGAAAACTGGATTAGTAAGTAAATGTTTTATTCCGCTGGGAAACCTGATAATTAAATTCCATTTTCGAAATTAGAAGTCAATCACCTTTTTCGTGACCTTTATACTTTTGCTGTTCGATAGTGGAGCTTGCCTCCCTTTTAGCAAAGGAAAGGAATTGAACTTGAAAAAAATCAAAAGTCAAGCCGCGAAAAAATAAATTTGAGCCTGAACAAAAAACGTAGAAAAATTAGAGAGAACAAGTTATCCGATTTTCGAAATTTTTTCCTGAAAAAAAAACAAACATCGAACTAGCACAACCTAAAAAGTGAAATTTCACTTGTTAAATTATTATTTTAACAAAAGCTATTTCCTCAGAGTAGCAAAGCTGACCTGGAATATTTGCTGTTTGGTCTTCTAGTGGAAGGTGTGTCGAACCATTGCACTCTGGTCCAAGACATGGGCGTGAACTGAAACAGTGCTCTCTTCATCTTGCCACTGGCACTGTTGATGTATTTGATGCTCTCCCAGTTGTATTCGCCCATCTCCAGCAGAGTGCACACTCGCATGCCTATGAAGATGCCGAAGCCGTTGCACAGCACCACGTCCAGAATCAACTATATAAACATACGTATACATTGTTAATCTGAAGACTTCGCCCATGCAAACGAAAAAGAAAACATAGTAAAAACATGGAAAAGTATCAATGAACTCGCAAACTAAAAAAAGTTTTGAAAGTGTCGAAAAAACTGGTTTAAAATTTCAATTTGAAATTTTTTTTTTGATGGTTTAAAATTTCAATAATTAGAATTTTTCTTTTCGTTTTATCAAGGAAAAATGTCGTCGAATATACCTATTTTATAATTACAATTCAATATGTTCTAGGCTTTCATTCGGATCCACTAATCACACAGCGAACAAATAAAAAAAATAACTTAAAAAAAAAAAACAATTTTTAAAATTCTGACAATTATTGTGGTCGCAACTTTCTGTGGTACTTCTTGCACAGCAACCAGCAATTCTTGTTTTCTTTACTTTTTTGTCTTCGCCTCACCTGGTCCCAAAGACACTCTTCGAAATTAGGCAGCACATGCATGAACAACATCTCAGTGATCTCCCACATGATACTGATGGTCCAACAGAGAGCACTGCTCCTCATCATCACCGCCTTAGACACGTAGCCTAGAAAGTGGGCTAATACAAACACGTCCAGTCTGCCTTTGATGGCGTCCCAACGAAGGTTCCAGCAGTCCACTGCGTACTCCTTTTCCTGAAAAAAAAACGACATATTACCCAGACGAAAACATGGTTTTTTTACCCGACTCAAACTCAACAAAAATGGGTATCGCGACAAATCGTAACAAAATGCAACTAGCAAAAATATACAAGTCGCCACAATTTAAGCCATAACTCACAAACTTTGAAAAATAATTTAAAACGTCATTGCAAGTATTGACTGCTTGCGCTTACATTCGACACGACTGGTAACATGCGCGTGAACTAAAGTTTGATAAGTATCTAGATATTGAGATAGACAGCTATCAATTTTTGCGCGCTGTCTTTTGATGCCAGTTTTCGTAATGCGCTCGAAATAAAACTGGTCTGATTACAATTTCAATTAAATTCAAGCAGGGGCGGATCTAGGATTTTCTCGAGGGGAGGGCGGATTTTCAAAAAATTGTCGAAAATTTTGACGACCTTTTTTTTAGGTCAGCCAAATTGATTTTCGGAGCCCTCCTAAAGCACTAAAAAGACGCTGTTTTAGTCAAATTTTCTGTGCCGCAGGCAAATTTTTGGATTCTGGATTCAAGCATGCAGTACAGCATTTCACTCAAACTTAAGCAGATTATCAAATAAACCAGCATCAAACCGCTTCCTAGCCAATGAAATTCGGGGTTTCCTTAAAAATTTCAACTGCATTTTTTTTGGATACGTTCTGTAAAGGGGAGCGGATTTCCAACTAATTTTCGAAAGCCTTAAAAAAATTTAGGGTCGCTCAGCCAAATATGGATGTCTCAAATATTTATTTTTCAAAACTTAAGCATGGGAATAGCCTCTTAGGAAAATAAGCACAATCTATTTTTGCGATAAAATTTATTATCGTATTTAGACAGTAGTCATCGAGATATGTAGTTTTCGAGAGTAGTAAAGACATTTATTTCTACAAGACGTCAAAATTTCAAAAAAAAACTTGAATTCCATACCGGCTTCTCTGCAAAAAGAATAGGGTGAATCATTTCATGCAGGGAAGATCTAACCACGCTGTTTGTTTGAAGAACCATCAATCTCAGAATCACCAGGAGAAAAAAGAAAGTTTCCAAAACATAGACAAAGTTTCAAAAATTGGACTTTTTCTAAGACTAAAATTTTTTTCAAATCGTAGGGCAGAGCCGCTTGCGCAAAAAAACTCGCGTAACTAGCTTTTTCTTTCGATTAAACCCTTAATCTCAGATTTGACACGGTAGTTTTTGAGGAAAAAGAGTTTCCAAAAAATGGTCGAAAGTTGAAAAAATGGACATTTTCTTATGTCATAACTTTTTTTTGTGAAGATAAAGGTGTAGCCATTTATGCCTACGAAAAGTTAACCACTTTTTAAAGCGATTGAACCCCTTAACCAAAATTTCACAAAATGGCCTTGTTTGAAATCATAACTTTCTATTACCGAAATTAGAGAATAGCCGCTCATGAAGGGGAATCCCCATTATTTGATCTTTAGATTGAAACACTCATGTCAGATTTTCTACATTTAAAATTTGAGAAAACGAAAAAATTCAACACAAGAGGTCAAAATTCCGTCTACTGAAAGTTTCGAAGGCCGCAGAACGTGGGGCAAAACAAAAAGAGACTTGCAAGCACGTAGAAGAGTAGCCGGTTTTTCTATAGCTACCTCTATTTTGAAAATCGGTCCAGTAGTTTGAAAGAAAAACTGAAAGTTTGCGAAAAGTGTTAAAACTTTGTTAAGCGCCGCAAAAAAAACAACGAACCCTATACTCTTACAAATACCTGTTTCTTTTTAAACCGGAATTAACACTAGTCAAAATTAAAGCAGCAACATATGCTATTAAACTGCCTATGCTTATATAGGCATAAACATGATTAACATGAAATACAAATTGAGCCACCAAATGATCACTTTTAATCGCGACTTAGGTGGGAAAAAATTAGTTTCTTCGTAGTAATACACTACACTTTATTGTGTAAGTAAGAATCAATCTAACTTGCTAATTAACTTTTCGAAAGTAAATTCCCTTCAATAATTACCCTACTGACAAGTAATCAACTCATGACAAGTTATTAACAGGTACATTCCCTTCCAATACTTACCCTAGTGACAAGTAATTAACTCATATTAACAACATAGGCGCTACGCGCAATACACCGAAGGCATAGAAAGCTATAAATACATACATGAATAATAAATAAAAGCAAAACTAAATGAAAGAAAATAATTAAATAAATATAGCAATAAATATCAACGAATAAACAAAACACACCTGATAAATAAATAAACAATAAAAAAATAAATCAATACATAAATAAATAAATACATACATAAATAAATAAATAAATAAATAAATAAACGCAAAACTGAAATGTACAAATAATTAAATTAACATGAAAAAATATATATCTCATGAACAAATAACCAAACAAACAGACCCATAAAATAAATAAATGAAAGTAAATGAATTAAATAAATACACATACATAAATAATAAAAGCAAAACTAAATGAAAGAAAGAATAATTAAATAAATATAGAAATAAATATCAACAAATAAACAAAACACACCTGATAAATAAATAAGCAATAAAAAAATAAATCAATACATAAATAAATAAATAAATACATAAATGAATACATAAATAAATAAATATATAAATAAATAAAAGCAAAAGTGAAATGTACAAATAATTAAATAGACATGAAAAAATATATATGAACAAATAACCAAACAAACAGACCCATAATATGAATAAATGAAAATAAATAAATGAAATAAATACACATACATAAATAATAAAAGCAAAACTAAATGAAAGAAAGAATAATTAAATAAATATAGAAATAAATATCAACAAATAAACAAAACACACCTGATAAATAAATAAGCAATAAAAAAATAAATGAATACATAAATAAATAAATAAATACATAAATAAATACATAAATAAATAAATAAATAAATAAATAAAAGCAAAAGTGAAATGTACAAATAATTAAATAGACATGAAAAAATATATATGAACAAATAACCAAACAAACAGACCCATAATATAAATAAATGAAAATAAATAAATTAAATAAATACACACGCAGAAATAATAAAAGCAAAACTAAATGAAAGAAAGAATAATTAAATAAATAAACAAAACACGTGATAAAAATAAACAAAAATAAATATGTACATACATAAATTATAAATAAATATAAGCAAACTAAACATAATTAAATAAATAGAAGAACAGATAATTAAATAAATAAAGATGAACAAATAAAGAAACAAACATACGCAATCACGTGACATAGCGCGATATAGTCCAGCCCACATGATAATTGATAACTGTGGACGTTATTTGTCGACACTTGACAACAGACAACATTAAAAAAAAACCGTTACACGATACCATAACACCTTGACTAAAGTCTTCGGTGTAATGATTCGAAAAGTATCATATTTATGAGCTGTTGATCATGCCTATCCTGCTGATTTTAAAACGAAACAAGCCGAATATGTTTAAACTCTGCTCACGTCGAGGTGATTGAAGTCGATTGATGAGTCGAAGTAGTTGATGATACCCTGGATCTGTCTTTTGGTAAGGTTCACCATGAACACCAGTGCACACAGGTACAACATCGAAGCCCCAAACACTATGCGCCAGATGGCTGGGTGGGGACGCACAAAGGGTCCATTTGGGAACACTAAACAATCAGAACAATTGATGAGCTAAACAAAACCGATAACTAGATAAAAACAAAAATATCCCTGCTTGTTTTTTCTTCCAAGTAACAAAATTTTTGAATGTCCTGTTTGTGAGCGTCTCTGAGTGTGTTGAAGGGCTATTTTGGATTGGCTTTGCAGCTCGAGTCACAAACAAAAGGGCTTTAATATCAAGTTTTTTAACATCTGCCGCTTATTTGTAGCATAGAGATTTGCGTGATATTTCACACCCCAGAATTTTTCCTCTACTATAAGGTTAGGGCAAAAAATATGCATCCAACGTCGTCAAATAAAAACTCCTAAAAAGATCGACTTATATCGGCACAATTCTGAAGGAACGGGAGCTAAAAAAAATAGGTCTTACAGATGTTTTTGTGTTTCAGTATATTTTTTTGTGTTTCAGGGTCGCTCGGAAATCAACCTGGTCTCCATAAAAAAACGAAAATCTTTACTTTTCTTTAAAAACCCGCCTTCTCTCCTCGAGAATATCATACATCCTCTCTTGACCGGGTGCTTGGCGCTTTTCCTCATTTCTACTTGCGCTGATTATTGAAACAGCCATTTGGTTCACAATGGGGGAGGACAAGAATAACACACAGGCGAAGCTCAGCTTCGCACCACTTGTGATACAAATTTGATTAAAATCAAACGGAAAATTTTGATTGAAATCAAACGGAAACCACTTGTGATACAAATTTGATTAAAATCAAACGGATGGTTGATTGAATTTAAATTTGTAAATACCATGCGGTAACAAAGCTGAAAATACGAGCAGAAACCTTTCATGCCGAAAAAAAGACCCAAAAACATTCTATTTAAAAATTTTTTATGTCCCTTTTCCCCTTAGAGCACACGCACGCACATGAACTTTTTTGATCCCCGAACGACGCAATAAAATGCCAGCAAATCAATATAAATTCAGCCGAAACTTATTAAACTGAAAAAATGACAAACGAAAAAAAAACGTATTTTGACAAATCGAGGTGGTAAAATTACGACCAGTTATTTTCAGTATCAAAAACAAATTTCGAACTTTGTTCATTACTCTTAAAAATAGTCCTGGAAAGAAAATTATTTCGGAAAAACAAACATAGTTATGAAACAGTTGGAAAAAATTCAATGAACGCAAGTAAACAAAAAAAAACTTTTGAATTTCGAAGAAAAAAATAGATGGTCTTAAAGCTCTTCGGATTTGTAGAACAAATTATTGTGGACACTTTTTTGATTAAACTACCCAATTTGAGAAAACTGGATCAGTATGTAATTCTTTATTTCGCAGGAAAATCTGATAATTAAATTCAATTTTCGAAGTTAGAAGCCAATCACGTTTTTCGTGACATTTACATATTGCTGTTCGATATTGGAGTTTGCCTTTTGACAATAGAAATGCACTGAAATTCGAACTGTGAAAAAACTCAAAACTGAGCGTGAACAAAGTTCGAGACTTTTTCCTTAAAAAAAACAATAACAAAACCAGCAAGATCTATATAAGAGTACTCACTACGTTCATTACTCTCCACAAGGATAGCCGGTTGCTGTGTAAGAAGCACAATGTTCCGACCACATTCAAAAAAACTCCAATATAGGTTTTTCCTTTTTTCTTCGAATTAATGTTGTTTCTTGTGCGTGGTGTGATGCTAGAACTATATAAACGCGTCTAAAGTAAGTAAGTTAGGCATTATCGTCTAAAGAAGTTTTCAAAAAAAAATAAACTAAAAAAAAAGAAATTTCATTTTTCAATTTTTCATTTTTTTTATGGAAAAATATTATTACCAAGGAGGCGCTAAATAAAAATTGAAAAGCTAGTTCGCTTAGTAAAATCGAAGATTTTTAGCCTAAAATGGCTTATTTTCAGAATGAACGACGTTACTTACTCGACTGCTTTACTCGCACGAAATTAGGTCAAAACTCAAAACTTGTTTTTTTTTCTCGACACCGGGACAAAAACTTGAAAGTTTTGAAATTTGGTTCAAATCGCGACTAAAACGGCTGGATTATGATATATCACAGACCCATTCCATGATTATTCGCGATACCTGATTTTGTGTGGATAAAAAAAAACTAAATCACCCGAATACAAAATTCCTCCCCACTTTTAATGGTCGGAACAAAAACATGATAAGCTCACCTAAAATACTGAGACCGAGGACGAAAAAGGAGCCCATGGTTATGAATCCACGACTCAAGTTTAGCACTTCATTTGAGTCGTCCCTGTACCAGCTCACAGCGAACAGAATCGTCAGAGATACAGCTGAAACAACATCACCCAATTGCTATCCATATGAATAGTTATACTACAAAGTTAAACATAGCGAACATACAGTTTGAAAAGCGTCAATGAACTCAAGTCAACAAAAAATGAATTGGCGATTCTGGAAACACAAGCAAAAATAATTATCCGTAGCACCGTAACTTTCATTTTGAACTACGCATTACAAACCCATCGCTCAATTAATCACCATTTATAAGGCAATTAAAAATGAGAAAGATGATGTAAATTGTACAGACTGACCTAAAAGTGTGAGCGAGTGTGGTTTATAGAAAAACTCCAGCGTGATATCTTTCACTTCATAATTGTCGAAATCACGGACAAAATTTTCATCCTCCGAATCGGCCGTAAAATATCCCGAAGATACACTCGAATTAAACTTCCGAGAACTATAGCTAGAGTAGTGTCGAGGCGAAGTTCTCGAATTAAACGATCTACTGTATCGCGACGGACTCGTGCTTCGTTCGGCATCATCTTCCGAGTTCACAATACTAGCCGTTCTTTGTCTGATAGTAACTTCGTCGCCATCAGATTGACCCGAGTAGTGTACTCGACGTTTAGGCGTGGTGATGATGGGTGAGGTAACTTTGCTCCGAGTGCGAGGTCCTTCGTCGCCAGAAGAAACTGTGGTTCCATTTGAGAAGACAGTAGGAGAGTTTGACGGCGAAGAATTTGCCCCGACAACCCCACCCGGAAGACTGCTCATGGGACTCTGAAAAATAGTAATAATCTTTTTACTGTATTTCGTTTTCCTAAAACATAGTTTATATAAATCCAAGCTATGCACGCACATATGCAGGAAAATTACGCTGATGTTTTTTCCGTGATTTAGAGGGTAGGTCTTTTTGAAGCCCAAGCACTATGGTGCTCAAGTCTGGGTAATAATATTGGAAAAACCTCCGTCTTCCACTTTGAGCGGGTCACTAGACCCTTATCATTTGGGGAATGACTGGGAAAAAAATTACCATCTTCAACTTTGATTCGATTTTATCGAACTTAAAAAAGTCATGGTAAAATATTTCTTTAAGTAACAAGAAAATATCTATTCTACATATAGGATTTTTCATCGATTACTCACTAATTCAGTTTCGATATTTTACAATTACATCGTTTCACAAATCAAACACTACTAATAAATTACTTCAAAAATGTAGATGTCATATAGAATGCCATACAGCTAAACAAATCATGGGATAGCATAAATCGACAATGAATCAAACGTGAATACTCAGCTGAACTGAACTAAAATAAGTGTTTTAGATATTTTGACATTCCAAAACTATACATTTATTTAAACAAGAAACTATTTTGCTAGTAATATTCAAAAAAGGAATTACAAACATTAAAACTTTGAAAAAAAAAGCTGACGGTTGGTTTCAACTTGATGAAAGTTTGAAACAACAAAAAATTGTAAATCAACAAAACCATGGCTTGCCCAACAAAGATGATCAAAGCAAACCTGCTTCTAGAGGCTAAAAAACTGCAGAAATTGCGAGAAGAAAAAAATCAGAAGCTAGTCCAGAAAGATACCATTTTCAAAACGCAAGTCGAACTACAAGAATCTCGTCTACAACAACATAAGCTACAAGATCAACAGGAAACTATCGGAAGACTGGAAAAAGATGTAGAATTTTTCGAAAAAAAAAATAATAATTGACAACTTATTACAGCAAAAACAAGAAGCGGAGCATCCGAAATTTCAACAAATCAATGACAAATTTTAGCCCAAATTCGTACCTCGGTTTGCAAAAACCTCATAATATAGGACAGCTCACACCTAAAAATTAACCGACAGGATATTGGGCTACTAACCGCATTACATTCATATTCATCAGCTACTATAAATGACGTAAATAGTATTGTTGACAAATATACTTACGGGACAAAAGTTCAAACGCTTGTTATGCATGTGGGACATAATTCTACTGATGGGGGACTAACCGGAAAAGAATCTTGTGAACAACTTCGTGAAACTATTGAGATATCCATTGAAAAATTCAAGCCTCAAAGTTGCAGTTTGCAAAATAACTCCTGTGAAAAACCATTTGGCAGAGATCAACACAACACTGAAATAAACATTTTCAATGATGCTCTGGAAAACATGTGTTTGGAAATGGATGGTTCTTTCCTGGTCAAAAGTTGTGTGTGAATACTAATCTAACAGCTAATAACTAACATTTGTGACGACGTAGTGTAGTGCACCCAAATGCCAGTGGCATTCAACTACTAGTGGAAAATCTAAGGGTCTATTTTACTGAATAGGGTCTAACCATTTCTAATGCTGAAATTAAATCGCGGAAAATAATTCGCAAACCAAAGGATGTTCGAGTTACAATTTCGACTGGCAGTTGATGAAATTGCAATTTTGCCGGTTTTTCAATTTTTTGTGCTTTTAGTTCCAGAATTGAACATCAAAACAACCCTTTTTTGCAAAACGTTATTTACTCAAACGTTCTTCCATTTAAAGAAAATAACACAATCAAATATCGGTCTTATTTATATCTGTATGGACTATTGTATTATAGTGACTTCAATTTTTTGCGTATCTTAGTCCTCTCAGGAGACATTGAGGAGAATCGTGGTCACTTTCATGAACTGCAAAAACTATTATCTTATGAACAATTTTTGGAAACTGAAAGTCAATCTAACACAGTCAAATTTTGCTTGATAAATATCAGAAGCGTGCAAAACAAATTTGAGAAATTGTTGATTTTTAGGTGAAATTTCGATGAACACTATAGTTGTAGCAACAGAAACATGGCTCAATATCAAAACAATAGAAAATACTTTTTAAGCTCAGGGCATACTTTTGTTATCTTTCACTCTCAGGATGGACAGGTCTAAAAAGAGGGGAAGGTGTTAGAAATTGGACTCCTTTATCTTCCAAAATTCCTCGTAAAGTAAAGATCTCATGACTGCTGACAAAGTTTTTTTGAGTCATTATGGGTTGAAATTGAGTCATGCTTGAAAAAACTTTAATTAATGTTTCGCTCAAGAAAAACCTCTCCGTGCTTTTTTGAAAATTGAGGTGGTAAAATTTCTCAAGCGTTTGCTTCAAAATGGAAGTTTTTAAATTTGGGGACTACATTACAAATCTTTAAAAACAAGACGAGTCATCAAAACTTTACGACTTTGCTGCAAATGATGCTCTGGAAAACATGTGTTTGGAAATGGATGGTTCTTTCCCTGGTCAAAAGTTGTGTGTGAATACTAATCTAACAGCTAATAACTAACATTTGTGACGACGTAGTGTAGTGCACCCAAATGCCAGTGGCATTCAACTACTAGTGGAAAATCTAAGGGTCTATTTTACTGAATAGGGTCTAACCATTTCTAATGCTGAAATTAAATCGCGGAAAATAATTCGCAAACCAAAGGATGTTCGAGTTACAATTTCGACTGGCAGTTGATGAAATTGCAATTTTGCCGGTTTTTCAATTTTTTGTGCTTTTAGTTCCAGAATTGAACATCAAAACAACCCTTTTTTGCAAAACGTTATTTACTCAAACGTTCTTCCATTTAAAAAAAATAACACAATCAAATATCGGTCTTATTTATATCTGTATGGACTATTGTATTATATTGACTTCAATTTTTTGCGTATCTTAGTCCTCTCAGGAGACATTGAGGAGAATCGTGGTCACTTTCATGAACTGCAAAAACTATTATCTTATGAACAATTTTTGGAAACTGAAAGTCAATCTAACACAGTCAAATTTTGCTTGATAAATATCAGAAGCGTGCAAAACAAATTTGAGAAATTGTTTATTTTTAGGTGAAATTTCGATGAACACTATAGTTGTAGCAACAGAAACATGGCTCAATATCAAAACAATAGCAAATACTTTTTAAGCTCAGGGCATACTTTTGTTATCTTTCACTCTCAGGATGGACAGGTCTAAAAAGAGGGGAAGGTGTTAGAAATTGGACTCCTTTATCTTCCAAAATTCCTCGTAAAGTAAAGATCTCATGACTGCTGACAAAGTTTTTTTGAGTCATTATGGGTTGAAATTGAGTCATGCTTGAAAAAACTTTAATTAATGTTTCGCTCAAGAAAAACCTCTCCGTGCTTTTTGGAAAATTGAGGTGGTAAAATTCCTCAAGCGTTTGCTTCAAAATGGAAGTTTTTAAATTTGGGGACTACATTACAAATCTTTAAAAACAAGACGAGTCATCAAAACTTTACGACTTTGCTGCAAATGATGCTCTGGAAAACATGTGTTTGGAAATGGATGGTTCTTTCCCTGGTCAAAAGTTGTGTGTGAATACTAATCTAACAGCTAATAACTAACATTTGTGACGACGTAATGTAGTGCACCCAAATGCCAGTGGCATTCAACTACTAGTGGAAAATCTAAGGGTCTATTTTACTGAATAGGGTCTAACCATTTCTAATGCTGAAATTAAATCGCGGAAAATAATTCGCAAACCAAATGATGTTCGAGTTACAATTTCGACTGGCAGTTGATGAAATTGCAATTTTGCCGGTTTTTCAATTTTTTGTGCTTTTAGTTCCAGAATTGAACATCAAAACAACCCTTTTTTGCAAAACGTTATTTACTCAAACGTTCTTCCATTTAAAGAAAATAACACAATCAAATATCGGTCTTATTTATATCTGTATGGACTATTGTATTATATTGACTTCAATTTTTTGCGTATCTTAGTCCTCTGAGGAGACATTGAGGAGAATCGTGGTCACTTTCATGAACTGCAAAAACTATTATCTTATGAACAATTTTTGGAAACTGAAAGTCAATCTAACACAGTCAAATTTTGCTTGATAAATATCAGAAGCGTGCAAAACAAATTTGAGAAATTGTTGATTTTAAGGTGAAATTTCGATGACACTATAGTTGTAGCAACAGAAAGATGGCTCAACATCAAAACAATAGTAAATACTTTTTAAGCTCAGGGCATACTTTTGTTATCTTTCACTCTCAGGATGGACAAGTCTAAAAAGAGGGGAAGGTGTTAGAAATTGGACTCCTTTATCTTCCAAAATTCCTCGTAAAGTAAAGATCTCATGACTGCTGACAAAGTTTTTTTGAGTCATTATGGGTTGAAATTGAGTCATGCTTGAAAAAACTTTAATTAATGTTTCGCTCAAGAAAAACCTCTCTCCGTGCTTTTTTGAAAATTGAGGTGGTAAAATTTCTCAAGCGTTTGCTTCAAAATGGAAGTTTTTAAATTTGGGGACTACATTACAGATCTTTAAAAACAAGACGAGTCATCAAAACTTTACGACTTTGCTGCAAATTGAGGCTTAACTATACCAAGGGTCACTAAACCATCACGTGTAACCGATAATAATCTCTCACTTATCGACCCTGGCTTAGTTTCAAAACCAAATAAATTATGTTAATTCGTACGAATTACATTTCAACACAGACCACTATATGCTTACAAATGAAACATTAATTTCTTGCAATTAGATCAATAAACTGCGTTCGACACATCGTATCATTAGAAACAAGAATTCTGCTTTATAGATCATTAGTTTTGTCTTATTTATCTGTCAGCTCAGCATTTTTTCAAAATCTACCCATGTCTCAATTTAACAGAATAAACAGACAAAATAATTGGGGAAACAAAGTGTGCTATCTGCGCAGAAAATATGATCATGCACGAGATCTACTTCTCAAGTCTAACGTTTTACCGGCCGAACTTTTCATTTCCCAGCGTTGCTCGACTAGAATGTTCAAGGTGGTTAAAAAATAATAAGAAAAATGAAACTGGTAGGCAGTTTATCTTAAACAGAGTACCAATGAAACTAACTAACGCACAAAACATATAAAACAAAACAGATTCCTAAAAACAAATTGTGGAAAGCAGGCGGTGTTAAACAATACTTAAATGGAACGCTGAGAAAAGTTAAAGCTATATTAAAATTTAAACTTGAAATTGAAAAATTTAAAATAGAAATACACAAAAAAATTCCTATTGACAGAGATCCAATGGTTTTTACGAGATTATTTTTATATTTAATGTATTTGTATTCTTTTATTCATTTTACTCATACAAGTTGTATTTGTAAAATTACATGCCGGTGTAGTTGTTCATTTTTAGCTATTAGGATAATTCCATTTTGTAGCAGCATGTATGTTTAACCAAGCGGTTATTTTGAATTCACATGTTTGTGAAAAAAAACTTTTTTTTTCAACTTCATTACCAAGGAAGCGCTAAAAGAAGCTCCCAAAATCAATTTTCCGTTCAGTAAAATCAATTTTTCGCTGCATAAGTTTCAAATAACGAACGGTACTCAATTGCTCTACTCGTTCGAAAATAGACTTAATTAAAAATTTCAAACCGGTTTTTCTGGACACTGGGAAAACTTTCTAAGCATTGTTTGTGAGCACTACAAGCAAAACCCCAGCAAAATTGCTGCGATCCAACATCGGTGACGGTAAACAACAAAAGGATCAGGACCGGAAGGATCAAATTGTTCAAAAACGCTCTAGGATTCTAATTTAAAAAAAAGAAAGAAGGCATCTAACTGAGAAAAAAGAAGCTAGGCTATCAGTATTATTCCAAAAATATAACAAAAATAGCCGGTTGCTGAGCAAGTGGCACCCAGTGTTCCTACCATAATAAAAAAAAACTGAACCAAAATTCTTCTTCAAATTAGTGTCGTTCTGTGCGTGGCGCGACACGAGAGCTGTACAAACGCGCAGAAACTTAGTGAATTAGGCATAAACGACCATTGTTTTAGAAAAAAATTCCAAGTTTTTCCACAAAATTTTTTAAAATTTCCTTTAAAAAACGTTTAATTTACAAAGCGCTAAACGAAACTTCCGTAACTAACTTTCGCTGAGTAAAATCAATTTTTTAGACTAAGCGGCCAGTTTTTATATAGTTAACAAAACTCAATCTTTTTAATTGCCTTAAACTCGTATAAAAAACAAAAATTTCAATTCCAATCACTACTGAAAGGGCTTTAATATGATATATCACTCGAGCAATTTCGATGATTAATTGTGGTACTTGATGTTGCGAAAGAAAAACACCCAAATTGAATGGTCGGAACAGAAAGAAAATACAAGCAATCAGATTGTAATTACAAGTACAGTTGCTATGAAATGAGGTAGAAAATACCCAACTTCATTAAATCATATCACCTAAAAGCTCATTAAAACTCAAAAATCAGATAATCTAAAAAACTTTGCAGTTTTGCTATTTCCCAAAAAAACAAATACAGAAGCGAAGCTGCAGCTTCGCAAACACGAGCGAGAACGCGGCAAAAATTCAGAAACTTTGAAAAGCACAAAACTCAAATTTTGCATAAAATAATTTGGAACGTAATAAACTAAAGGCAACTACACTATTTTCGCATGAAAGGAATTAGTAGGCTTTTTGGTTCAATTGATAAACTGAACCGCCTTATTCAAAAGTGGCACCAAAAGTAGCGTTTTATTTGCGAATTAGGTCGGAACAAACAAAGACAACAGGCAGTTGGAAAGATTGAATGAACACAAAATCTACTGAAAAAAATGACTGTCTCTATAAAACAACTTTCTGGCTATTGTGTTTCACAATACCATTTGTCTATTTAATAATACAATTAACTGGTCGGATGTCTAGAGGGTCTGTCAGAGTAATTTCGACTCAGGGATCGGATTTGTAAATGGCTACTCACTTCTGAACTAGTCTAATAAAAAAGCACTACGTTACTATCTCAACTTTTTCGAATTTTACAGACAGAATTGATACCTCTTTTGATCAAATAAAGCTTATTTGAGAAAACTGGATGAATAGGTAATTTTTTTACTTCTCTGGAAAATTTGAAATTTAAATTCCATTATCGGAACTATAGTTGATCACGTTTATCGTGACCTTTACACTTTTGCTGTTCGATAGTGGAGTTGCTTTCCTCTAAACAAACGAAATGAACTGAACTTGAAAACAAATCATAAGTGAAACCGCAAAAAAGTAAATTTAAAATTGAAAAAGTTGCATCGTACTATCACACAACGCTATGCTCGTTTAAATAACTTTGAGCGTAATCAAAACTTGAGACTCAATTCTCAAAAGCGAAAAAAAACAGCACGACTTAATTATGTGAAAATCCAATTTGTCCGTAAAAACTAACCAAAGACTAATTAAACGTATTGTACGTCAAGAACACGAAGATTGTAGGAATTACTTTTGATTCATAACATTTTAGGTAAATAGAAAATGTTACACCGAAAATTCAATTAAACTTGTTCAGCTCAGCCGGTTGATTTTCATTTCGACATAATTTATTAAATTTTTGTTGATAAAAATGATCGGTTAAGATCAACCACGTGATGTGCTGACTTCGCGACTTCAGTTTTGTCATAGACTCTGCTGGTTAATTTTGGATCTGCATTCCAGGCATACTCTCACTGGATCCTTGGAGCTTGGCAACTTCAGTTTGTAGTTCGAACAGCTGTTACAGAACACATTGCCACAGTTTCTGCAGTGGTGCTTAAACAGAGAGAAACTTTAGCTACCATTACTACTCAAAAAAATTAAGGGCATACATTCAGGGTCCTCATGAGAGCTATTCGGCTAATCTAGTGATGCCCAACTTTTTAACTCTATTGTTGACGTTCTAGTTGCTATGGCGGTATCATTTGATTTGATTTAATATTGAAGCTTACGTTTAAATCTCAATCCTGTCGACAGAACATTATTCTAGTAATCCGAGCTTTCCTCAAAGTTTCTAGATTCACGTCAAATCGCTAAGGTAGAGTAAACTGATACTATAAGATGACCATCTTCTACTCGGCATTTCTTACAACGTGCATCTTTTCTGAACTTATTATTTGAATTCAAAGCATTTTGAAAGAAACTTTCTGAATAACGCTACTGGGAAAAACTGAATGAGTAAAACTTTGAGTCTATAAAATTTCTCGCACGCCAGTTATGAGTCTAACTAATTGCTAAGTGACGCAAGCCAATTATGACGCAATAGCAGTACCAGTCAATTTGAAAAAAAAAGAAAATTAACAACTAATATGCCTCAATTTATAGAGCGGACGCATCTTAACTAGTAAAAGAAAAAGTTCATTAAAAACATCCGACCCTGCCCAAGTTCGAACCCTCTTGTTATGTTGCGGGTCTCCTTCCCTACCTCTACACTCAGATCCATGATACCTAGAAGCTAAAGTGCTATTTGTAATATAATAGTCTGTTAATATCCTTATCATTGGCTCTACTTAATAGCTGGTTATTGATCAAAATGAACTCTTTCAAAATGAACACAATTTGTAGCAACAATATTTGCGTTGCAAATATCTGCGACTTAGGTTGAAAAAAACGAGAGGTCATACTATATCACAAACTTTGCTTATGTAAAAACAATTGAAACAAGTGACTGAAAGGAAAGAAAAAAAACATAGTAAACTGAGTTGGAAAAGAGTAATCAACAAAGTAACAGAAAAAAAACAATGACTTTGTTGAAAAAATTTCAACTTCCGAATTTCAAAAAAAAATAGATACCCTTTAAGCTCTTTGAACTTCTACAACAATTTATGATTGGCGCTTTTTTGATAACATGAACCCAACTAGAGAAAACTGGATCGATAGGTAACGTTTTTATTCCGCTGGAAATCTTAAAACTAAATTCCATTTTCGAAACTAGAAATTGTTCACGTTTTTTGCACCATTTCCACGTTCGCATTTGGAGAGTGCTATTTACGTCACTTTCAGCAGATGAATTTCAATTAAACTCAAAAATTGTATATATACCAAAGTGCATCCATAAATGCATTAAAAAAAATAAAAAACTTTTCAATGGACTTCGCAACAAATCAACTTCACGAGCAGAAGACAACAGGACTTTCTATTCCAGACAAACGTGTCCCTTTGCTCCAAATTTTTCAGCCTACGAATAAGACCTCTTGTTGCTTATTAAAAATAAGTCAATATGCATGGTGGGGGTACCTTTCTGACGAGATTAGTGAACTCAGTGTCACACTGCATACAACTCCTCACTGTCTTTTCATCCACCCACCCACTGCACTTCTTTTTCTCCTCCTCCTCCTTCAACAGTTCCAGCTGCTCCTCCTTCAACCTCAACTTCAGTCCCATGTCCGCCAGACTCAACTCACTCTCCTCTATTTGGCGGGAGAGAAAGAGAACTTTCTCTTGCAGGGAATCTCGCTCCTATAGCATAAACGGGGTGTGTTCAGTAAATTGACGTTTTATTTAATTTCCAGATTAATGAGCCGAAGTTTCAGTAACTTACCAGACCAGTAAATCGAAGTTACAGTCACTTACCAAATTATTGAGCCGATTTTTCAGTAACTTACCAGATCAGAAATTTGAAATTTAGAAAGTTGGCAGATCAGTAAAACGAAGTTTTCTAACTTACCAAATCAGTATACCGAATCTTTACATCAATTGCAGTATCAAAGATTTATAGAATTATCTTTCCTGAACTAAAAAACTTAAAACAGCTGGATCTCTAAACATTTCCCTTACACTAAATCCCGTAATGAACCTGGGGCTGAACGTGTACCACATTCGACGTCAAAACAAAAATTGTTTCTTTGAGACATCCTTTGTTTCACTTTTTGATTTGTGAAATACTCGTCGCATTGTATAAATCTTAATCTTCACTTCACGTGATTACCTAATAGAATGATGCATTTTCCTACTATTGATCTGGTCCACAAGTTTTCGGTTTACTGATACATCGATTTACTGATCTGCCAACTTAAAAAAGATAGATGAAATTGAGCAGTAGCTGGATAAGTCTGAAGGCTATAGAGTAGTACCATTCACTTGCAAGACGTACTTTTTTTTTACACCATATCAGATATCTCGACGAAAATTTTTCAGAAAATAGGAGCTTTTTCAATTAAATTACGTAAAACAATTTCGAGATACCAAAAAAAATAAATACGAATACTTATAACATTGGAATTGTCCAATAAAACTAAAAGAAAAACCCGATCATGGGCTAGCTAGAGGCTTTACAAGCAACACCCATGTGCGCTTACTTTACCATATTTGCTATCAGTTTTGAATGCGTTTTAATTAAGTAGATATAGCTCCTTTGATTAAATAAACCATGTGCGACTCTGGAAAGAATGAACAACAATTAAACTTTTTGTCGACTGTCGATATTACTGAACAAGCACATAAAGAATTTTCAATAAGTTACCAGATAAAAAAAAACGAAGTTTTAGTAAATTAGCAGGTCAGTAAAACGAAGTTTTACTAACTTACCATACCAGTATACCGAATAATTACATCAATTGCATAATCAAAGATTTATAGAATTATCTTTCCTGAACTAAAATCTTTAAAACAGCTGGGTCTGAAAACATTTCTCTCACACTAATTCCGTAATGAACATGGCGCTGACCGTACCACATTCGACGTCGGAACAAGAAGGGTTTCTTTAGACATTCTTAGTTTCACTTTTTGTTTTGTGAAAAACTCGTCGCATTGTATAAATCTTGATCTAAAATGCACGTGATTAGGCAATTGAATGTTGCATTTTATTATTATTGATCTGATCTGCTAGTTTTTGGTTTACTGAAACATCGATTTAATGATCTGCCAATTAAAAATAGACAGATGAAAATGAGCAGTTGCTGGATAAGTCTGAAGGCTATAGAGCAGTAACATTCAACTGCAAGACGTCATTTTTTATTACACCATATCAGACATCTCGACGGAAATTTTTCAAAAACTAGGAGCTTTTTAATTCGAATTACATTTTGGCAAGACTTATTTCAAGATACCAAAAAATTTCAATAAAACACTTACAGCACTGGAATTGTCCGAAAAAACTAAAAGAAAAATCCGATCATGGGCTACAACTTTTAGAATCAACTCCCATGTGCGCTTACTTTACCATATTTGCGAGCAGTTTTGAATGCCTTTTAATTAGGTGGATATAGCTCCTTTGATTAAATAAAGCATAAGCGACTCTGGAAAGAATGAACAACAATTAAACTTTTTGTCGACTGTCGAGATTACTGAACACGCACGTAAAGAATTTTCAATAAATTACCAGATAAAAAAACCGAAGTTTTAGTAAATTAGCAGGTCAGTAAAACGAAGTTTTACTAACTTACCATACCAGTATACCGAATAATTACATCAATTGCATAATCAAAGATTTATAGAATTATCTTTCCTGAACTAAAACCTTTAAAACAGCTGGGTCTGAAAACATTTCTCTCACACTAATTCCGTAATGAACATGGCGCTGACCGTACCACATTCGACGTCGGAACAAGAAGGGTTTCTTTAGACATTCTTAGTTTCACTTTTTGTTTTGTGAAAAACTCGTCGCATTGTATAAATCTTGATCTAAAATGCACGTGATTAGGCAATTGAATGTTGCATTTTACTATTATTGATCTGATCTGCTAGTTTTTGGTTTACTGAAACATCGATTTAATGATCTGCCAACTTAAAAATAGACAGATGAAAATGAGCAGTTGCTGGATAAGTCTGAAGGCTATAGAGCAGTAACATTCAACTGCAAGACGTCATTTTTTATTACACCATATCAGACATCTCGACGGAAGTTTTTCAAAAACTAGGAGCTTTTTAATTCGAATTACATTTTGGCAAGACTTATTTCAAGATACCAAAAAATTTCAATAAAACACTTACAGCACTGGAATTGTCCGAAAAAACTAAAAGAAAAATCCGATCATGGGCTACAACTTTTAGAATCAACTCCCATGTGCGCTTACTTTACCATATTTGCGAGCAGTTTTGAATGCCTTTTAATTAGGTGGATATAGCTCCTTTGATTAAATAAAGCATAAGCGACTCTGGAAAGAATGAAAAACAATTAAACTTTTTGTCGACTGTCGAGATTACTGAACACGCACGTAAAGAATTTTCAATAAATTACCAGATAAAAAAACCGAAGTTTTAGTAAATTAGCAGGTCAGTAAAACGAACTTTTACTAACTTAACATACCAGTATACCGAATTACGCTATTTGTAAATCAATTGCAGAATCAAAGATTTATAGAATTATCTTTCATGAACTACAATAATAAACTTAAAACTGCTGCGTCTAAGAACATTTATCTCACACGAAGTCCGGTTATAAACCTGGAGCTAAACGTACCACATTCGACCTCGAGACAGGAGTTGTTTCCTTGAATCATTCATTGTTTAAATTTTTTTTTTTACGAAATACTCGTCACATTGTATAAATCTTGATCTTCAATTGAGGTGATTACGCAAGAGAATGATGCATTTTCCTATTAACACTCTGATCCGCTAGTTTTCGGTTTACTGATACATCATTTATTGATCTGCCACCTTAAAAATACATTGATTAAATGATTAAATGAGCAGTTGCTGGATAAGTCTTAAGCCTATAAATTATTACCATTCACTTGCAAGACGTATTTTTTTACACCATATCGAACTGGACGTAAATTTTTTTTTCAAAAAACTAGGAGCTTTTTCACCGAACTACATAAGTCATTGGCAAGACATAATTCGAGATACCAAAAAATTTCAACAAACACTTATAACGTTGCAATTGTCCACAGAACTAAAAGAAAAATCCGATCATGGGCTACAACCTGTACAACCACCTCCCATGTGCGCTTACTTTAAAGCATTTGTGAGCAGTTTTGAATGCGTATTAACTCGCGTTTTATTGGCGAGCAGTTTTGAATGCTTGGATATAACTCCTTTAATTATTTAAAATATTGGCGACACTGGAAACAATGAACAATAAAAAAACTTTTGGTCGACTATCAAGATTACTGAACACGAACGTTAAGAAATTTGAGTAACTTACCAGAGCAGAAAACCGAAGTTTTAGGACGTTAGCAGATCAGTAAAAAGAAGTTTTAGTAACTTACCAAATCAGCATACCGAATAATTACATCAATTGCAGAATCAAAGATTTATAGATTTATCTTTCCTGAACTAAAAAATTAAAAATAGCTGGGTCTACAAACAATTCTCTCACACTAAGTCCCGTAATGAACCTGGGGCTGAACGTAACACATTTGACGTCGAAACAGGAATTGTTTCTTTGAGACATTGTGTTTAACTTTTTGTTTTTTTGAAATACTCGTCGCATTGTATAAATCTTGATCTTCAATTCAGGGCTTTTTCAACTGAATTACGTAAGTCGTTGGCAAAACTTATTTCGAAATAGCAAAAAATTTCAATAAAAATACTTATAACGCTGGAATTGTCCACAAAACTAAGAAAAACCGATCATCGGCTACAGACTTTACAAAACACTCCCAAGTGCGCTTAATTTACCATATTTGCTATCAGTTTTGAATGCGTTTTAATTAAGTGGATATAGCTCCTTTCATTAAATAAACCATGTGCGACACTGGAAGCAATGAACAACAAATAAACTTTTAATCGACTGTCAAGATTACTGAACACGAACGTTAAGAATTTTCAGAAACAAAAATTTCGAAAAAAATCCGATCATGGCTACAACCTCTACAACCACCTCTCATATGCGCTTACTTTGCCATATTTGCGAGTAGTTTAAAATTTGTTTTAATTAAGTGGATATAACTTCTTTGATTATTTAAAATATGTGCGACACTGGAAAGAATGAACAACAATTAAACTTTTGATCGACTGTCGAGGTCTACTGAATACGAACGTTAAGAATTTTCGGCAACTTACCAGATCATAAAACTGAAGTTTTAGGACGGTAGCAGGTCAGTAAAGAAAGTTTTAGTAACTTACCAAATCAGCATACCGAATAATTACATCAATTGCATAATCAAAGATTTGTAGAATTATCTTTCCTGAACTAAATTATTCAACTCTTTTAAAACATTTCTCTCACACTAAGTCCCGTAATGAAAATGGCGCTGACCGTACCACATTCGACGTCGAAACAAGAATGGTTTCTTTGAGACATTCTTAGTTTCACTTTTTGTTTTTGTGAAATACTCGTCGCATTGTATAAATCTTGATCTTCAATGCACGTGATTAGGTAATTGAATGTTGCATTTTACTATTATTGATCTGATCCGCTAGTTTTTGGTTTACTGAAACATCGATCTGCCAACTTAAAAAAGACAGATGAAAATGAGCAGTTGCTGGATAAGTCTGAAGGCTATAGAATAGTACCATTCAACTGCAAGACGTCAATTTTTTTTTACACCATATCAGATATCTCGACGGAAATTTTTCAAAAACTAGAAGCTTTTCAATTCGAATTACGTTTTGGCAAGACTTACTTCAAGATACCAAAAAATTTCAATTAAACACTTACAGCACTGAAATTGTCCGAAAAAACTAAAAGAAAAGTCCGATCATGGGCTACAACTTTTAGAATCAACTCCCATGTGCGCTTACTTTACCATATTTGCGAGCAGTTTTGAATGCGTTTTAATTAAGTGGATGAAGCTCCTTTGATTAAATAAACCATGTGCGACAACGGAAATAATGAACATTTAAAGGTTTGTTCGACTGTCGAGATTACTGAACACAGCGGCGAAGCTGAGCTTCGCATCACTTGTGATACAAATATGAATGACTTCGATTAAAATCCAGAAAAAAGATGAATAAAAAACATCAAAGATTCGTTGTTATCAACAAAAAACTGAAAAAGAAACTGAAATTTCAAAAACAAAGTATTTCTGCGGAACTAAGCCGACAAAAATAAGCAAACCGACAATGATTTAAATTAGATGAAAACTTTCTCTTTGCAAAACAAGTCTCGACTGGAATGAACTCCCGGCTTTGTCGTCTCAAGCATGGGGGTTACAGCAACTTCGAAGAAAGCTGAACCTTAAAAAATGTCGGTCTATGGGAACTATGCCGAAAAAATTAAACAGACGGACGATAGCCCGAAAACGCACTACTCTAGTTTGCAAAAAAAAGGTACCGTCCGGATTCAAACTGCAACGTTTTGCTGTCGCAAGCAGTTGTGTTAACTCAAGGCCAGATGCGGAGGACGGTTGATTGAATTTGAATTTATAATTACCAAGCGGTAAAAAAGCCAAAAATACCTGAGCAGCAACCTTTCATGCCGAAAAAATTCAAAAAAAAAATTCCAATTAATAGAAAAATAATATGTCCCGTTTGTCCTAAGAACACACGCACGCACATAAAATATTTTTTCGATCCCCAAACGACGCAAGAGTCCACTCTAGGTCGATATTATTAAGCCGAAACTTATAAAGCCGATGAAAAAGAAAAAAAATGAAGAAAAATCATGTTGGTAAACAAAATTCGATTCGGTCGGATTTTTAAAATCCTAAAACACTTAAAGAAACTACAGTGAAAACTGTTTACAGCAAAAAAAATGATTCTTCGATGTAGCAACTAAGCCGAAAAAACCTAAGCAGACAAATAATGGGCCGAAATTTTTTTTGAACCGGAGTATTTACCGTTTGAAAAAAAAACAGGTCCTTCTCAGAACCTTTGCCGTCCCAAGCTTTTCGTTACCTGCAGGCTAAGTGTGAATGAGACACTGAAAAGTTTGAATTCATTATGAGCGAATGTAGCACCAGGAGTCTAGATGAATCTTGTGAACAAAGTTATTTACGGGAAAAAGTCTAGTACCCGATTGCAATACCCTTGCTTGCCGCAAGGGTAACCATGTGAAACGTTTCGTTACAAAAGCTTTTCCAGCTTAAGGATAGCTCCAAAATTCAAAAACGGTATGCTTCATGAAGTTTAGAGACCGGATGACCCCATAATTAAGGCAATACATGCTGAATTTAAGCTTGTACATATTCTTATAAATTGGTTAATGTGAGTGGTTACTTTCTCTAGAGAGGGTACTTTCTTCAGTTGCAGCTTGATCAACTCCAGTTCGGAGACCAGTGCCTCCTTTTCCTTCTGCAGAGTCGTTCTCCACTCACGCTCTATACTAACATCTGTCTCCAGGCATGATCTGAAAAGCATCTAAAAAATTATCTGAATTATACTAAAAATGTATCAGAAAAATCATCTGAAAAATACCCCAAAATTATCTGATTTATATCAGAGCTGAAAAATATCTGCAAACAGCTAAAAAATACTCATGAAAAACAAGAATTTAATTCTACCAGAGCTGAAAAATTATCTTGAAGGTGACCTGAAAAAAAATCGGAGCTAAAAAATCATCAGAATATCTAAAAAATGAACTGAATTATTTCAGAGCTGAAAAATCAACTCAAAAACGACCTGAAAATTATCTCAGCTAAAAAAAACTAATCAAAACATCTAAAAAATTATCTGAATTAAATCAATGCTGAAAAATGTGAAAATTGGATATGACTTCCGCTATCCATAATCAGGAGCAATTGGCTTCAGGAAACTAACATTGCGTTGTCTTTGTCAGACAGCTGTGCACCCAGACTTCTCGCAGTTTCCACTGCTGCTGTCTTGTCTTGTTCCATTCCCTTCAACCTAATTAAAATTGCTACTATAATTAGGATTAAAGCAAAATCTTTTGGGACCCACAGAGCTCAATGACCACCCAAGCATCAATATTGAATTGGTATGACAGAAATAGAAACGGTGTTTTGATTGCGGTTTTTTGATCGAAGTTAATCCTCTTGGAAAAGGCCCCGTAATATTTCTAGAAAATTAAACAAGCGTACATTTCTAGGATTTTTTGAAAGTTTGACTGCTTTATCGAAGCAAAACAATAGGATCAGCAGGGGCGGATTTAGGGGGGGGGGGGGGCGGACGTACCTTTCTCCTCGGGGATTCGACCCCCTGCTGACCCAAAGGGTCCCCCCTGTGGCACTTTTTAAGAAATCCATTTTTGGCCGACCGACCCTAAAATTTTTCTAAAGGCACCAATATATACAAATTTTGAGGGTGGGGGGGAGCGCGCCCCGAAAAAACGCGATTTTTTTGGTCAAAATTTTCCAAAAATTGATAAAAACGCCTTTTTGGCATTTTTTTCAAAATTTTGACTGCGGCGCAGAAAATTTGGCCAAAACAGGGACTTTTTGGTGCTTTGTGAGAGCTCGGAAAATCAATTGGCTCGACCTATAAAAAAAGTCGACAAAAATTCGAAATTTTTTTTTTGAGATTTGAAGATCCGGTTCCCCTCCTCGAGAAAATCCTAGATCCGCCCCTGAGGATCAGGTCTAGTTTTGTTTCGCATACGCAATGAAAAACACATCGTGGCGCTCCGGTACTGATGGATCCCAGCAAGCATTGGATTTCTGATTCCAATCGCAGGTGAACTCTTGCAAGTTAGTCATAGCTTAATGGGCGCTGGTTATTCAGCCCAAATAATTTGGTTTTTCAGCCCAAATAATTAACTTTCGGAGAAAGCCTCTGGGCTGGTTGACTGAAAAACACACCGAAACTTCTACATATCTCCGTTGATTTACCTTTTCAAATATCAGAACATCATAACAAGCGAATATGAATATCATTATAAACATTAAAAAAGAAGCGCTTACTTAAATATTTAGAGCTGTCACATGCGTAGAAAGTGTTTTTTCATTTAAGTCGTATTTTTCTACTTACTCTTTCTGCTGATCGTTGAGGGTGTCGTTCATTCTGAAACTCTTATCTTCTAACTGTTTCACGATTGAGTTCTTATGCTCCAACTCTGCCAGTCTTTCCTAAAACAGTCTGCAAGTCTTTGTCAATCTTTTATCCTATGTACAACCCTTGTATATAAGACAGTGCTAGCTCATCTACGCACAGTCCTATTTGGCAAAAAAATCAAGTCCAAAAGGCAGTTGCAAAAGAGTCAATGAACGCAAAGAAACAGAAAAAAATATTGACTTGTTTAATTTCTACTTTTGAATTTCAAAAAAAGTATATGACCTTAAAGCTCTTTGAATTTCAAGAGCAATTAAAAATTGTCTATTTTTTGAAAATATTAACCCGATTTGAGAAAACTGGGTCATTAGAAAAGTTGTTCTTTCCGCTGGGAAATCTAAAAATTAAATTTCACTCTCGTAACGTTTTTTCGCGCTATTTCAGCTTTTATTGTTGGAGAGGGCATCTTGCCTACCTTCAAACATATGAACCTGAATTGAACTCAAAAAGTGCATATAAAAATAGGGCATTCATATGTGCATTTTTAAGTATGAATGCACTTCTTTTATAATTAGAGCATTTTAAGACTTTTCCTAAAGAAAAAACTACAAAAAAATCATCACGACCTATATAAGAGTCTGAACGCCGTTTATAGACTCTTAAAAAAGATATGTATTCAACCTGAATGAATACATATCTGTATTCATTCACGTAAAGCAAAACGAGACGCCCTCTAATAAAACCGCATGTTGCAAATTTTCAAAGAATTACTGAATCAAATAAAATCACGAGAAAAACTGAATCAATTAAAGGCTCTTTTTTCTTTTCCACCACCTCAGATAAACATCAATTATATGATGTAACGACTGATTTTACAAGGTTTAGTATGAAGACTTAAAATAAAATGTTTGGCATGGCCTAATCAGTCCGCATGCCATTTTTGTAACAATCAGACAATGTAACAATCAGACAACCTGAACGAAAAAATGCTTGCGAAAATTCGAAGGAAGAGGAAGGAAGAAAAACGAGCCAATTATCACTCTGAAATTAAGCGCACATTGAATATCTCAAATTCGCCCTATATCAAAAAATTTTGAGCCTCCACGACTTTATGATTAAAATCGCCACAAGTGAAACATCTGTTTGATTCTAAGCTCAGGACATCAATATCATTCAGACTTGAGAAACACAGAGGCGGAGATTCATTTTGCAAACACAATCGAGAAAACGACAAAAACAGCTTTTAAAATGAAAATAAGAAAAGATAGAAACAATACTTGAATAAAAACACTTTTGCTATATGTCGGATTTGAACCTTCAATCTCGAGCCGAGGATCTCACGTCCTCGCATCTGTGTTACAGGCCCTTGAAAGTTTATTAACACCAGTCGCCATAAAAGCAGCTACAGATGCTTTAAAAATTGCCAATGCTAAGCAACATAAACACCACCAAACATAAATAAAACTAGTGTTAAAAACTGCTTGAACCTCAGACCAGTAGATAAGGATTATCAGGTCCTTCCATCTGGGCCACAGTCGCTTAGCAATCGGGAAACATTACCCATCAATAAAACAGAATAGATATTATGAAATTTCCAATGAAATAGATCGTGATTATACGAAGCAACAACAAAAAAGCACTTATAATTGTGACATAAACTCATACTGTTACACTACGCTCATTGGTGTAATAGTTCCGAATGAATAACTTATGAAAAAATTGAAACTTTTCAGCAAAAAAGACCCCTCTGAGCACAAAAATTTAATTCCAGAAAAAGCGTACGCACTTTAGAGAGCAAAGTAACCCAGAACTAGCGAAAAGAAGCGCTCATGCTCACAAATATTTACTTTAGACATCAAAACTCCAGAAAACCAACCAATCGTTGATTTTTGGAATTCAGTGATATACAATTGTTCAAATTTTATCTTTTATTCTTGCTTAAGCAGATAGAAAATCTTATCAAAACAGATAGAAGATACCGGAACTGAAAAAGATAACTGATTGCTACCTGTTGGAGTATTGAGACTCAAATTAACTGAGTCGTACTCAAAATAATTGTTCAAAATCATTAGGATTAGTAGGCTACCATTTCGATACAATAGCCGGCTATACATATAGTAGGGTCAAACACAGAGGAGAGCTATCTACTCCCTTCGCCAGGACATACGGTATAAAAACTTGGTCAAAACCTTTGGAGCGCAGTTCAAATCATACAAGGAAAAAGACTCGAAAAAGTCAGCAAGCTGACAGAAAAATTACATACTTCATTTTCAGTAGTACTTTTGTGCCAAGGAAAATTTTGAGCAATCACAATCCTGTACAAAACCTTGACAAATCACAATCCTGTACAAGCCCCTTATCGCAACCCAAAACAAGCCTCGTACAAACCCTATCAAAACCCTATACACTAGATCAATCAAACTTGTGAAAACAACCCAATCCATTCAAAGATAGTTTTCTCTCCTTGTATCTAATCATTACAAAGATAACGTGAATTCACGCATCCAGTTAACACTAAGATCTACACCCTAGCTAGAAATACGCAATACTTAAAATGATCTATCGGAACAGATTTTACAAAAAAGCAGCTCCGGCCTCACTTTTCAAAATAACAAAATTAGGTGCAGTAGGCTTCATTATAAATTTAGTTTAACGATTTGCAAAAACCAATTTTGAATGCAGCAAGTAACACTGGAACTTGCATAATATTATGTAGCAATTTCGATATCGAAGCAGTTTTGAATGGTCAGCAGTTCGGTCGCATTAATTAGCCCCACTTATTTCCGAAGTCGAAAAAATTACGAGACAGCAATGATTGTTTAATAAAATGGTTATAGCTAATGCTAATTAGAACTACTAAGTAAAAATTAAGGTAACACTACCGTAGCAGGACAAACTACACTATTCCAATCTACCCTATATACCAAATTACCCTACGCAAATTTTCACTACGCCAATCCACCCTTCGCTTGATTTATGAAGGAATCATCCAAGCAAAGTAGTGACTGCGGCAGTCGTGCCAACGTGTTGCGAGCTTGCCAACAGAGGGTAGGAATCTATACGAGAGTCAGAGCCGGTTATCGCCGCGGAGCTCTTTTCAATTAATTCTTTCTGTTCCAATTGTTTGCAGTTCTTTAAACCACTATACCTGAGCAGTAGTGTATAATTGTAGATTGAGGGTCTTGATGTCTTTCAGCTGTTGTCTGAGGGAGACAAGTGAGTCCTGTTTCTCATGTATGTCCTGTTCCATCAGTCTGGTCGCCTCCTCCGCCTCTATACGCATGCTCACCTGCAGCTGCACCTCCTTCTCAACTTCCTAATCAAAACACAGGCTATAAAAATACTTGATATTCGCCAATTAATTTGTAATCAACATTACCACTCAAAGCACATTATAATCAGTGTGATCAGTGAAAGAAGTGTGCAAAACCAACGAGCGACTTCATGAAAAATTTCTTAGTAACTGCAGCTGCGCATTCTAATCAGGAAAATTCAGGAGATACTGGCTTTCGAAGCTTTTAAACAAAAACGAGATCCAAATTGCAGGAAGCCGATAATTGTAAGACGCTGGCGTACATGAGAGTTCCGGGAAACAATTAATTCATATCGAGTCGCACAGCCACTATGACCGTTTCGTGGCTGAGGAATGTCTGAAAAAGTAATCAGATCAAAACAGGGTGAACAGAAAAATGAATTTAAAAAAACTTCAAAAAACTGCGTATTATATATTATACAGAAAACCTATTCAAAATTGCAAATCGAAGATTTTTGCGAGATAAGGGGCATTTAAAAAAAGAAATTAAGGGGAAAAGGAAAGCGTCATTATTTCACCCTGTATCTATTTAACAATCGATATATATGCCACATAAAATAACAAAACGACAGTTAGAAATTAAATTTCGAGAACAACTTCTGATTAGCACTTTTTTGATAAATTTAACCCAATTTGAGAAAACTGGATCAATACTTAAAATTTTTAAATCGCTGCGTAATCTGAAATTTAAAATCCACATTCGAAACTAGAAGTCGATAACGTTTTTCGTGACATTTACACTTTTGCTGTTCAATAATTGAGTTTGCCTTCCTTTTAACGAGGAAAATGAAGAAAAAAAACATAAAAAGAAATCAAAGGTCAAACCTCAAAAAAGTGAATTTCAGCCAGAAAAAATTTGACTTTTCCTGAAAAAAATCATCGCGACCTGTATAAAAGTCTAATCGTTCATCGACTCTTAATACAAAAAAATTCCCAGTGAAAAAGTAATGAAAAACCACTTCAACTGATCCACAGACTAAAAACAAAGGACTTCAAACTAAATTTAAAATAAAACAAAGATAGCCGGTAGCTGCGCAAGAAGAACAAAATGTTCCAACCACTACAATTTTTTTTCTGCAAGTTAGTGTCATTTTTAGTGCATGGTGTGCTTCGAAAAATATACAACGCGTATGAAGTTAGTAATTTAAGCATAATCGACTACATTTGACTTCAAAAAAGGAATGACAAAATTGAAAAAATTCTGAACTTTTTGCACAATAGTTTTAATTTTTTTTAGGAAGACTAATTTGCCAAATAGCCGCTAAATGAAACATCCAAAACATTGCCCTTTTTAATAAAATCAAGTTCTCAGCCTAAACGCCTCTAAATAAAAGCTGATTTCTCATAACAATCGTTACTCGGTCGCTTTACTCACAAAAAATTGAACTCAAAAACTGTACACCAGCTTTTGTCGCCAGTGGAACAACCTTCTTTTGAACATTTTAAAAAATTAGGCCAAAACTCAAAAATTTCGAACGTGTTTCTTCTCGACACTAGGACAAATGTTTGAATATTTCAAATTTTGTTTCAATCACGACTGAAAGAGCTTTAATTTGATATCACTCGGCCCATTCCGATGACTATCTAAGGTGCTTGATTTTGCGTGGAAAAGAAAAACATAGCCAACTGACAGTTGGAAAAGAGTAATGAACGCAAGTAAACAAAAAGAAAAACACTTACTTTGTTTAAAACTTCAATTTTCGAATTTTAAAGAAAAAATAGATGCCCTTTGAATTTTCTAAATCATTTATGATTGGCGCTTTTTTGATAGCAATAACCCGACTTGAGAAAACTGGATCAATAGGTAAAAATTGTATACCGCTGGAAATCTAAAATTTAATTTCACTTAATAAACTAGAAATTGCTCACGTTCTTTCGCGCCATCTCGACGTTCGTATTTGGAGAGTGCTATCTACTAAATTTTAAGCGGATGAATTTCAATTCAACTCAAAAAGTGCATAGATACCTAAGTGCATTCATAAACACATTAATACGTGTGAATGCACATCTGTAGTTATTAGAGCATTTAAAGACTTTCATGAAAAAAAAAAACATTTTCTATGGTCGAAACAACAAGAATTACCGGTTACTATGATTTTGTATACATTTGTATAAAAACTTTGCGTATTAAAACCGGCTTTGTAAAGTAGAAGACGGGTGGTGTGCTTATGTGAATGATCAAAAGCCTCCGCGACGTTAATTGAGAGCAAAATCAACGCTTCCAAAAAATCATCAGACAAATTTCTTGAGATTTATAATTGAAAATGTTCATTTCCAGAAATAATAGATTTCGAAGAAAAGAAAGATTTGATATATATGTGAATCAAGTATCGATAATTTAAAAAAAAAATTCCCATTATAACAGATCTTAATTCACAATATTTGATCAACTAACCAATCTGTGAGTGATCTCATCAGCCAGTTTCTCCTTCAGCTGCTGATTTGTAACGTCCAGACTCTGGTTCATAGCCTGTATGGTCTCTCTCTCCACTTGTATGTCCGCCTGGGCCATATCCATTCTCTTCTTCTCATGCTCTTCTCTGGAGTTCTTCTCATTTAGCAAATTGTCTCTTTCTAATCTAACTTCTTCTAACTTCAATTCTGTTCCTTCTAACTAAAACATTCAGTTCGCTTGTCTTTAAATCAACTTAATCTTCCTTGTTCTCAACTGCTAAAAATTAGCAATAATATAATTTTTCCAATTTAAACTTTCATATGAGGAAAATGTATTAAACAAGCAAGAAATAACAACTAAACGGTTTTTAATGTAGTACACTGATAAACACGATATTTAATAAGCAGTGCTTTTGCAGAAAAAACTAATTTGATTGATAGATTTTTTTTGAAGACAACTCACCTACTTACCTTGAAACCAATTTCCATTTTCTCAGTTTCCAAGTTCGTAATTTTGGCAGCAAGTTCATTTACTTGGTTTCTAAAAAAGTAATTTTTCCAAAGTAACTTTCAATGAGACATTTGTGTTTTATATAAACTGAAGACTTACTTCAATTTTTTGTTGATTTCTTCAATGTAACTATTTTGATTGGATAAGTCCAGAATTTCCTGCTGCAGATCTGAATCATCATCGCTAAAATTCAAACCAACAATTGGTTTAACAAATTCATATTTTTCCAAGCTTTCGCATTCACACAACCTGCTAACATACCATGAATTCATAGACATATTTGAAATGTTGTCGGACACACGCTCCAGGTAATTTCCGTCTTTTAAAAAAGGACTCAAGTCAATCACAGTTGGCTGAAACAACATATCAATTAATTAGACTACAAATTTTAATTGCGAACAACTGATCTTTTTAAAAACAATCAGAAAAACAACAACTTTTTGTGTTGGGAACGTTTGAAACGTGCTGCATGGGAACGTTTGAAACTGGGAACTGAGGATTATGCATGTTTTTTATTAGATAGATTAAAGATATATCTGCTAATTGAACAATTTAGAGACAAGGGAAATTGATATTTCGCATAATTGACGCGTGATTACGATGCTCTGAGTAAAACTTTGATGAGTTTTTAAAAAAAACCTTTTGGTATTCACTGAATGTATTAATTGAATGATAGCCGCTCTGTTTTATGGATGAAACGTCAGAAAGAGCCCTAGCCAATCATGACTTACCAAATTGTCTAAATCTTCATCTCTGTGTACGAAGTTGAATTCGAGCACATTTAGCCCGACCATCAGACCAGACAGCATCGAGACTGTGTCTTCATCCAGAATCAAAGCAGAAGCACCGTAAAAATCTCTAAGAGAAAAAAATCAGTTTTATTATCACGTTTTAAAAAAGATTTGCCTGAAGCTAAGGAATCAATATTAGCAAGAAGCTTAGCGCTTATGATATTGTTGCACTTGAAGTAAGTCTAAAAAATTACAATACATTTCAACTGAAATGTATTTCATTGCCCAAACAGCTTCCAAAATATTGCTTTCACAAATCTCTAACAATTCACCTTGTAACGAATTGCCACCCCTATAATAAAATAATTCAACGGTTAAGCATATGCGAATTTTGCACGTTGTAACGAATCCCCCTTTCTGCAAAAGGATGAAATAGTAAAAGAGATCCCACAAATGCAGCTATTCAACCAGGTGTGAAAAAAATCGTAGAATTTAGACCGTTCGTCGAAAGACAAAATAGTAATGGCTCGAATGCTAAGTGAAATATTTTATATCGAATCTTCATTTGTTAAAGCATGGCCGCATGGTTGCTGTGTACTGCATAATTAATTAAATGAAAGCTGCTAATCAAAATCAGAATAGATTCATTTCACTAAATTGGTTTTCGAAGCAGGGTCTAGTTTTCTATTTCTATGAAGTGTCACTTTGCTTTGGACCAACTGTGATCTGTTCCACCACTTAGCCGAAGAAACATGTAGTCGTAAAACTTAGGCCCTCACTTGAGTTGGTTTTTGGAATGTGAGAGGATGTCGAAGTACTCTGACAGTCTCTTCTGCATCAGGGCAAATCTGATCCAGGCCCTTCCCCGTCCCAAACCAGATCTAAGATATTGTCAAAGCTAATGTCAAAATCGGTCGACTTGAGCTCTCAAAACGGTCAGAAAATAGAGACTTTTTAGCAGTGATGTCCATTTAAAAAAAATAATAATAAATAAATGTGAATTTTCATTTAAATTTTAATTTATTTAAATGTAAAATTATTAGCCCACTCAATTTAAATGAAAAATATATATTTAAATCGAGCATATTAAATTGACAGAAAAATTCAAGTTGCTCGAGCGGGATTCAATCCGACGCGAAAGTACACAGTTTGCATGTGTCAATTAATAAGAAAAAAACTAATAAATTTGTGTTGCAGCACAAATTGGTCTTGATTTCTTTTCTAAAATGGCAAAATAAAATTGCTAAGAAGACTTCAAAAAATCTGAATTGCTAAAAAAAAGTTTAAACAGTTTCTGAAAAAATTTTAATGACAAATTTTTATAATTTTGTGAACAATTTCAATTTCAATTTTTTTTATAAATGAGCACCACTGCTTTTTAGATTAACTAACTTTTTTTTATACTCGCTGCCATGTGAGTATTTGGCAGAAAATGGACTTCATTCAGATTCATTTAATATAATAAAACTTCCAATGATTGCCTATTCATCAAATCTCATATTTCCAACATTCTTAATAGTAATCTAAGATCGAATAATGCAATTTCTCTGAAATCAAATCAAAAATATCACACAAAAAAAATTCAATTTTTTCGAAAATTTAATGGCAAAATTTCAGGTCTAGATAATCCTGGTGGATAGGAAACCCATGCACGACCAGTGATATCCATTTAAAAAAAAACGATTGAAATTATTTAAATTTCAATTTATTTAAATGTGAAATTATGAGTCCACTCAATTTAAATGAAAAATTTTAATTTAAATCGAGCAATTTAAATTGAAAAAAAAATTAAATTGCTCCAGCGCTATTCGATCCGACGCCAAAGTTCAGAGTTTACTCATGATAATTAATTTCACATTTCACAGTTCCGCGGAAAAAGCAAACAATCTAAATTTTCACGACAAAATTGATGAATTTTTGTAGCAAATAGATATGCACAAAAAGTTGTTTTGGAATTCGTTTCACAAAATTGCAATAAGTCCCTAAAAGTGGCAGAAAAACTGCTAAAAACAGACTGAAGAAAAATTAGCACGACTGATAACAACAAAAAGAAAGGAACTGTACTAACTTGATATCAGGGAGAGCGCGTACGTTGTGCAGAATTTCGACACAGTTTGGACTCATAGAATCCATTTTGTCCAGCGCATTCCAGAAAGTCCTCTGATTAGACCCAGTGATGCTGAAGCCAGATGATCGCCCTAAAGCGAACAAACAGATTCCAGTGTCAAACGTATTTCAAAAATTTGTTCAATGAGATAAATAAACCAGTGAAATAAATGCTCCAACCACCAGGTGGGAAGGAACAAGGACATAGCTTGTTTTTCTCCAATTTTGAATATCTCAAAGAACGCTGGTAGTGTGTCAAGTGTGGTCTCATATTTAAGCGCCCTATTGGTTATGATTTCGATTCCAAAAATATTTTGAACGCAGAAGCCAAGCGGAGTTTCGCAACACTTCCGATACAACATAAACATAGCATTAAAACAAGCAGAAAGAAAATGAGACGGAAGCGATTAAGTCGAAAAAACTATTTCCGAAATTCGAAAAAAAAACATCTACAGAATTTTCTTATATTTGCTCGAATGATCTTCAATTCGAGGAAAATACGCCGATGAAAACAATCAACCCCGTTATATAAGCATTCAAAGAAAGAAACTCAAGGCGCCTGATTTACTTCTGGACCCAATTAGAGGGGCTTGAAAGATTTTGATTTTCCAAACAAAAAAAGCATTGTCAATTTCTTACATATCTCAAAAAAAAAACCACCGTCCCGCTGGGGATCGAGCACCAGACTTTATGCTCTGAAGTCGCTTCTTGAATCGAACCCGAGACCTGTCACTTGTAAAAAGAGTTGTTTCGGTGGAAAAAGTCTAGTTCCCGATTACAAGTTACTTGCTCTCGCAAGTGTCTGTTTGAAGAAAAAAAAATTGTGGGGTTTTTCTGTTTAGACTAAATGAAACATTTACGAAAGGCGATGAGAAATCAAATTTTTCTGCAATTTTTATATTAAGTTGACTATCATTACTTCTCATTTGTCGAGTTGTACTAAATTAATCGCCCTCTAATCGATAAAAAAAACGCAGCAAAACAGGATAAATTGGGAAACAAAAAATAAAATTAATCAACTTATTCCTTAATTTTTTTTATTCGTTTTTTTTTTGCAGAATTCTGCGCTACTTGAAGAGCAACTGGCTGTTCTTGCTATCAAATTTGAAGTCAACCAAGCAATTTGCCAGTAGTATTAGCTTCCGCAACTTTAAAACAACCGCAAACTATTTTAATTACGAACCACCTTGTATTTTTTGAGATAAAGCAGTTGTTTTTATAGGCCAATGAAATTTTAACAAATTTTCCGATTTGTTCTTTGAACTGCCATTTGAACTACCATTTGAATTCTGTGAGACTCAAATATATTTTTTTCTAACGTCTATGTTCTTTTAATACCAGAAATCGCTTGAGGCATGAACACACCAAAACTTGAATTTGTGTTCTGAGCTCTTTAGAAGGAGCACTATTTTTGATAGATTGAAAAAATTTGCCTTCAGTTGCATGTAAATTCTCCATTTTTTTCAACGTTTTAAATCATTTCCAAAGTTAAAAAACAGTTAATATACCGGAAAGTGTAAGAACAGCCAAACCCTTATACGATCAAAATCGAATATGAACGCGAGTTTATTCGCAAAAATCTCTAAATTTTATCTTAAATTTTGACAGCATTTTTAGCAAAATTTACTCACCAGATATAAAACCATGTTGCAGAACCCGTTCAATAACTAGCATGAACTGTTGCAAGGGTTCATGACGGTAGCTCAGCATACGCCGTCCCAAACTGTTCATTGAATCTAGCAATTTCTTCAAGGTCAGCTTGAAGAGATTCACAATGTTGCTTTTTTCAACTGCCACGGCGTGAAGAAACATTTGTGACTGTGTAAGCGACGAGGAAGATGAAGACGTAGCGCTCCCGGGAAGCGACGCGGGAATTGTATATGCGTCATCTTCACTCGTGATGCTGAGCCTCATTTTGGAATTGGGTTCGCCAACTTCAGCTCTTTTTACACCAATATCATTTATAGTCTGAAAATGCATTTGAGCTTACCGAACCCAAGAGCGATAATTTACAATTCAGTTTTTTAAAATAAACAGGAATAGATTCTTGCTGCGAACGTACCACAAATGTTCCGGCAACAATAATTATTGTAGAAAAGAAAAACGGAAAAAAATGATTTTTAAGTAATTTTCATATCAATTTCTTGGTTTACTAGATGGGACAAAACTGATCTAGGGTTTAGCATATTAATTTTAAAGAAAAAACATTGTAATCCTTTAGAGCAGTAACTCAGTCCGAATAAGCAAAACCTTTCATATGCTTTTCTCGGCACAACGACAGCAACTTTGAAATATTTTTAGAACTTGAATTACGACTGAATGGGCTTTATGAAAACCCAAAATCGAATGCCTTTTAAGTCTTTTTGAGGCACCTAACAAGGCTTCAAAACAATCTAGACCACATTGTGCACACAGAGGCAAAGCAGAGCTTCGCATCACTTGCCATACAACACAAATATGAAACACAAAAGTTGAGAAATTAGGTCTACTAAAATTTATCTTTTCCTATGTCTCTTTGGATGTTAACTCTAGGCAAACACAAACAAGCCATCCTTGTCTTTGTTATTTGAATATTGAATTAGCAAAGAAAAAAAGCTTACGAAGAGGAAACAACGCCGACAAACTTAGAGCAGCCAAGTTGAGGCGAAAAAATATGATTTGATCAAAAAATGCTTTCAATTTTTAGGTCCCACTTGAAACTACAATGAATAAAACTTGCACTTGCAACTACAGTGAAAATTGCTTCCAGTAAAGGAAAAATCCGCGATGTGGCAACTAAGCTGAAAATCTTTGAGCAGACAACCAGCTGAGCCCAAAGAAAATTGATTTTGAAAAAAAAAAACGTTTCAATTTCCCGGGTGAAATTACAATGAACAATACTTGTACTTGTAACTTCAACCAAAGTTGCTAACGACGTGTAAGAAAAGTTGTTTATGGGAAGAAAAAAATGGTTTACGAGACTTATTGTTGAAAAAATTCAACTTTCGAATTTCAAAGGGAAAAATATACGGCATCAAACTTCTTTGAATTTCAAGATGAAATCATCTTTGACACGTTTTGATAAAATTCTCAATTTGACAAAATTGGATTAATAGGTTAAATTTTTATTCATCTGGGAAATCTTAAAATCAAATTCCACTTTCGAAACTAGAAGTTTAACTAACTTTTAACAGATGAATTTGAAAGAAACTCAAAAATGCATACACACCTAGGCATTTAGAAATGCATTACACAGACGCGAAGTTGCAACTTCGTAAACACGAGCGAGAGGGCGACAAAGATTCAGTAGCTTCAAAATGCACAAAAAGTCAAACTTCGAATGTAATCATTTAGAATGAAATAAATTAAAGTAACCACACTAACTTTGCAAATAATAAATTAGAATGTATTAAGCCAAATTGCGTATAAATTATGCGTTTAGAAAATATCGTGAAGTATAACGAGTTCAAAAAATTCTGAAATGGGATTTAAATATCATACTGTAGTATGAAACAAATAGCTTTTTTTCGGTTCAATTGACGAAATAAGAAAACATCAACTGTGTTAACTTGTAATTAATCAAATGTCAAAAAAAAACATGTAAATATACTGCTAATGCAGTCATCAAACTAAGAAGTGCCACCAGAAGTAGCGCTTTTATTTGCGACCTAAGTTGCATCCTACGATCAAACTACGCTACGTTCGTGTAAACATTTATTAATGCACATCTGTAGTTTTTAGAGCATTTGACTTTTTCCTGAAAAAAAATCATCAAGACCTATTTAAGAGTATTCACTACGATCAATACTCTTGAAAAGAACTGTATAAAAAACATCTGTTATAATAAATTATCTCTTGTTATAAAATAAAGAATAAACTTGATGTTCCTACGACGAAAACTTGGGTTTTCTTTTGTCAAAAAACGCAGTAATTCCTTCTTGACATTGTTCAAGCTCAGCGTTCTGTGTCATCACGGGAGTCGCCGAGTTATATGCTTCTTCAAGAGTAGATTTAGAGAGTTGATTATAAAACTCAGATTTTCCCAGCGCTATCACTTCGCGACTATGATTCGCAATTTTCGCCACTAGTTCGTCGCACATCTCGTGAAGTTGTTCAGAACCATCGGCTATTTTATTAACAAGGCCGTGTTTGAAAGCAGTTTCCGCGCATACTGGTTCTCCAGTGCATAGCATTTCAAAGGTTAGCTTTGTGGGCAAACATCGGACAACCGGAACAGCAGGTGTAGTACAGAACAGACCAATTTTTATTCCCGGTAAACCGAAAGATGCTTTTCGGGAAGCAAGAACCATATCACAAGATGCAGCAAGCTGACAGCCTGGGAATAGAATTTGACAAAAAAAACTATTTTATATCCAACTGAATTCTTAATTTATCGCATTGTTTCAAATCGACAAAAAGCATAGCTTTCTTAGCTTTCGACCGGAAACAATTAAGACAAGGTCAAACTTCGTAAAAAAAACTATGACACTTCGCAAATGTAGGCAAAAAAAGAAGAGCAGAAAAACAGTAAATAACAAGGAAAGCAGGTGGCTAAGCAAGTAGCACAGAATGTTCCGACCACGCTAAAACACTACAAAAAAGGATCAGGACAGGAAGGTTCTAATTGTTCAAAGAATGTTCTCGAATTCTTTTGAAAAAAAAAAGAACAAAAGAAGGCATCTCTGTGAGAGAAAAAAGAAATTAGGTTATCAGTATTATTTCAAAAAAATTAATAAGGATAGCCGGTTGCTGTGCAAGTAGCACAATGTTCCGACCACATTAGTGAAAACTAACTAAAATGTTTTTTTTTTAATTTGAGTCATTTTTTGCGCGTAGGAGGATGAGACATCTATACAAACGCGTAGAAACCTAATGAATAAAGCATAACTGACATGTTGTTTTCAAAAATGAAGAATAACAAAAAAACAATGACAAATTTAAAAATATTTTTAAATTTGTCATTGTTTTTAATTATTTTTAATCTGATTAATCCAATTATTTTTTTATCTGATTAGAAAACATTTTTTATCAAGTTTTTGTAGCCTAAACAATCATTTTCTACGTTACTCGATTGCTTAACTCGCTCAATATTAGACTTCAATTCAAAAATTTAGGGTACCTACCTTTGCGTGGAATACGAAAAGAAAAAAAGAAACAAGGATAGCGAGGTTGCTCCGACGGGCCATTTTCATAAAAAACTACAAAAAAAATTCCATCAAATAAGTATCGTTTTTCGTGCGCGGTGTGATCATGGAAATATATAAACACGTAAAAATTAGTGCATTAGAAATAATCGACAACAGTTGTCCACAAAAAGTGAATAAGAGAAAAAATTTAATTAAAACATTTTTTTCCATTGCTATAAGAAAATTTCCTTCACCAAAGAAGCGCTATATATAGCTTCCGAAAATAGTTTTCCGTGATTATTTTTTTTCAATTTTAATGAAAATTTTATTGCCAAAAAAACGCTAGATTAAGCTTCTAAAACTATCTTTCCTTCAGTACTATCAAGTTTTCTTAGCCTAAATCACCAATAATTATCCTAACTTTCATGTTATTCGATCCCTTCACTCGCTCGAAATCAGACCAAGACTCAAAAACTTCCAACCGGCTTTTCTCGGCGCTGGAAAGTTTTTTGAAAACGTTTGTTAACATTCTTTTAAAAAACTTAAGAAAAAAGGTTTTTTTTTCGCATTAGTGTCGTTTTTTTGTGCGTGCTGTGATTACAAAAATTTTTATTGAAAGTCTAGAACTTACGACAGTCATCCTAAAAAAGGCAACCTGAACTACAATTTTTTTGACGAAACATAACTAGAAGAACAAACAAAAACCCTTAAAAAATTTTTTTGAATTTTTCTTCCCATAATGACGCTAATGTAACTTCTAAACATAATTTTGCAGGAGTATAACTGAGGTTTACCGGCTTTTCCTTCTATAATATGCCTGCTAGCTTATTTGCTTTCTCGTTCTAAATTGAACTAAATCTCGAAAACTTATGCAGTTTTCTTCGACACTGAGACTTTTTGAAAATTTCTCAATGTCGTTTCAAAGAATTTCGTAATGATATATCACTCGATTCATTCCAATTGCTTGTGGTACCTGATTTTGCGCGAAAAAAAAAACAAAAAACCTTAAGATAACCGAAGACGAAAATCATCTCCATTTTCAATGGCCGGAACAAGAAACTCAAACATACCCTAAGATAAATTTCCTCCCCATTTTCAATGGTGGGAACAAAATCAAAACAAGGATAGCCCGTTATTGTGCAAGCAGCTTAAAATGTTCCGACCAGTCTTAAAAAATTACCTAAAAATTATTTTTCCAATTAGTGTTGTTTTTTTCGGCTTGGTGTGATAAAGGAATCTGAGCAACAAAGTAGAGCTTAGGCATTTTCGTCAGTCATTGTAAAATATGCACATTGAAAAACAATTTTTGCAACAAGAAAACAAAAAAAATTTTTTAACAAACTTTTTGTTAACCAAAACCGAAATTTTTGATTCCTAAGATAAAGCTAAAAACTCCAAAAAAAAATAATTGCATTAATGTAAAACTGAATTTTAAAGGCTTACAGTAAGCATAAATCAGCTATATAAGCCTGCTCACTTACTCGAAACTAGACGAAAATAAAAAATCCAAAACAGTTTTTCTCGACACCGGGAAACCTTTTTTGAAAATTTTTAATGTCGTTTGAATCACGAATTAAAGGGCTTTAGTATGATATATCACTTAACCCAGTCCGAAGATTATATGTGCTAGCTGATTTTGCGTGGAAAACAAAAAAGAAAAACACCCGAATACAAAGTTCTTCCCCATTTTCAATGGTCTCGGAACAACAATGAGGTGCATGAATCCGGTCTAAAGAAATTTCATGCTGTCAAAAAATCTAGAAAGCAACCCGGTCTGATAGTTTCAGTTGAACGAGCTACTTCATTATCCTACACTGACCAGAAGAAAATGTTAGATAAAAACAGAGCCAATAGACTATTGGGATAGAGTCATTGCACGCAAGTAAACAAAAAAATACTGATCTCCATTTTTGAATAAAAAGATGGTCTTAGAGCTCTTCGAGAATAAATAATAACTTATGATTGACACTTTTTTTAATCAAATAAACACAATTTGAGAAAACAGGATCAAGAGGTTAAATTTCTTATTCCGCTGGGAAATCTGAAAATTAAAATCTACTTTCAAAACTAGAAGTCGATCACGAAATTTACACTTGGCCGTTCAATTGCGGAGTTTGCCTTCCAAAAGAAATGAAGTGAATTTCAAAAAACAATCCAAATCAAACCGCGAAAAATCAAATTTGAGCGCCAAGACTTTTTCCTGAGCAAGAAAACAAAACAAAATCAGTACACTCATAATTCTTAAAAACGATGGATTTTCAACAATCCGCCATATCTTGAAGCCGGAATTACATCAGAATAATGTTAATTATATCAGTAACATTTGCATAATAACAGTGACAATCTGTTGTTGCGTAACAATATTAATTTTCGGCTTGTTGGAATGTTTATCTTATTTTTGGTTGACAGGCCCTTCGGCTTGTTGGCCTATCACTCCTCAAAACATGAGGGTATCAATCAAGGCCATCTCAAAAAAAGCCCGAGACCGAACGCGAGAAAAACAATAAACTTGGCCTGAAATTTACCCCCACCAGCAAATTTTTACCATTGTAACTACTATTCACATTGTCCGATTATACTGAAAATTGACAAGCGAACCATCTTCAGAATTAACTTTGTAGAGCTACTCATTACAACAGAAAATGGAAGCTCGTGCGCAGTAGGGGAGGAGAAAAAAGACCCAAATTTTCATTCACATTTCTGAAAAGCACTACCCCAGTTGAGAAATTCGTGAAACCAAATTGATCAATAAAAAAATTTAAACTAACCGCCAACTAAAGCAACACCATCAATAACAGCTATCACGGAATTAAGTGCTAACTCCAAGGCGGCCATGAGCTTTTTACCTCCGACCAGAAGCATTTTATATGAAAAAGACTATTTTAAAATTTTATCAAGTTGCAACATTGTAGAACTGTTTTTTTTTGCTGTAGGCAATTTACATTGTAGCTGCTTTTGGTGTTTTGATTTACTCCTGTGGAACGTTGAGATCCTAATTAAAAGAATTTTTCATTGATTTAGAACCAGCTGGAAAAGGAACCGAGGTGAATTCAATATCGAAAAAGTAACAAACGAAAAATTGGTTCAAGTCGATCGAAACCTACAGAGTTTTTGCTGATACAGTCAAAACACGTAAACTTGCCTTGAACCGCGCATAGTCTAGCACAATTTTTGTGGTTGTGACGGTTGAAACATATCTTGCTTGGATCGAGTACGGTCACGTAATTTTTTTCGGTCGAGCATCATCAAAACATATCTCATTTGGATCGAGGACGGTCGAGCCTATTTTGTGGGTTAAGCATGGTCGAAACAAACTCAATTTAGATCGACATGGTCGAAACATACCCAATTTTGGTCAAGACGGTCAAATAATAAAGTGAGCATCCCAATTTTTGATTCTTTGATCGGTTGTATACACAAGCTGGTCATATCTTGCTGAAAAAAAAGTTTAAAAACCTTAAAAACCGAAGCAAAAAGTGAACAGTTTTTCAAATCAAGACCATATCAAAAATGGGCCCGAGACCGAACGGTAGAAGAGCTATAACGTTGTCTAGAGATTTTGGCCTGAGAAGACTGGAAAAAGAATTGGCATTTGCAAGCCTGTGTGGAAATTAATCGACAAAGCAACATTTCAAAAAAAAAAACATCAAACAATGAACACTTTTATTTAAAAGACACCTGTAACTATTTCGCGAGCAAATTATATGAAAAAGAGCCAGCTGAAAGTTGGAAAAGAGTAATGAACGCAAGGAAACTAAAAAAAATCGAATTGTTTTTCAAAACTTTTGAATTTCGAAGAAAATCTATCAACTTAAAATTCTTTGAATATGTAGAACAATTTATGATGGATACTTTTATGTTAAAATCAAAACCCAATTTGAGAAAACTGGATCAATAGGTTAAACTTTTATTTGCAATAGAAATGCACTGAACTTAAAAAAATCACAAGTCAAACCGCGAAAAATCAAAATTGATCGTGAACAAATTTTAAGACTTTTTCCTGAAAAAAAAAACAAAAAACAAAACAACCGTCAGCTAAGAAAAAATCAGCAAGACCTATATAAGAGTACTCACTACGTTCATTACTCTTAATTACTATTTATATTGACCGATTGTTACGATTGGGCTCTTTTCCGTTCCCCCACCTCACATAAGCATCATTTCATGGTTTAATGAGTGGTTTTACCAGGTTGAGTATGAAGGGTAAGTTTTCATGGCCTAATTATTCCGTATAGCAAATTTTATAAAAATCCGATATGAAAATAAAAATTGCAAATTGCTCTTAAAATTCGGAGGTGGGGGGGGGAGCCGAAAATTGACATGCGGACAATTACGCCACGACAACATATTTCGTCTTCATAATCAACCTTGTAAAACTATTCGTTACACCAGAAAAAGGATGCTCGTGAGAAGTAAGGGAGGAGGAAAAAGAGACTCATTTTCATTCAAATTTTTGAAAAGCACTGTCCCGTTTGAGAAATTCGTGAAACCAAATTGATCAATTAAAAAATTGAAACTAACCGCCAGCTAAAGCAACGCCATCAATAACAGCTATCACGGGAACAGGTGCTAACTTCAAGGCGGTCATAAGCTCTTTACATCGAGTAAACACAGCTGAAGCCTGACTGCAGGCTTCATTTTGTTTAAGCTCTTTCAAGTCATGGCCGGCAGAAAAATGTTTACTCGAGGACTTGATAACGACGCATTTGTCATCCACAGAGAGACTGCTAATTTCATTGATTAAATTGTCCATCATTTTGAGTGACAAGGCATTAAGTGTTTTCGGCGAATTCATTTCAAGATATTTTGCAAAATTGCGTCGCTCAACGTTTAATATGTGATCAGAAAAACATCGCTGTTGTACGATTACAAAAGACCGCCGCATTCTCGTTTCTTAAAAACAATGAAAATTTGAAACAAGATAGTCACAAGAGTGGTTCCGGGTAGCAGTCCGGGAAAACAAGGAGTTCCTGTAATCAACACAACTAGACTGGCGAACCTTTCCAGTGAACTGACATTGTTGTCCAAAACTCAATTAAATCGCAGAAGGAAAACAAACTGAACAGAAATATGGACAATTCTCTAGAAATTTTTACATAAACAAAAATACATTATCAGTCATATAGTGAAAACCAAGAGGTCCGTAATCGCAAACAGCGCAAGCCAAAAACTATTGCTCCTGATGGCAGACACTTAAGTGGTATATTGTCTATATGGTTACGCTGATGGGTCGCCTCCAATTGATAATTCCATTCGACCTGCCGTTATTTGTCCACCTCTCGACAGCATTGCCTGCGCGTTCGACCGCATTAATAGGCAGCTGAGCCGAGTGTAAATGGCGTTCTTCATCTCCGGCGTGCTGGTTGCTGTTTGCATGGCCACACGAGATGCAAGGCGGTCTAGGAATGCGATGGCCTCGCTTCCCCACTCGCCATAGCAAGTGACTACCATAGGAAGGCACTCCCAGCCAAGTTCCCGGCACTTCGCGTCGTTATTGCCGTGCTTTCTTGATGCCGCGGCCGCTGCTGCTGAACTCCTAATTGCGATCGCTCCGTCAATGTTGGTGTCGTTGAGCGGATTCACAACTGTGATGTCCAGGGCTGCATCCTTCCCGAGATTCCACGTTGGCACGAGCACGTCTGCAGGGTGCGTTTGATCGCGAAACCCTGCTCCCGCTTCTAGAATGGGATTCAGTTGTGCTCTGCGACAGTAGTCGGCAATAGAGTTGCGCAGGCCATTGTGTCGTCTGCAAACATCTGGGCCCCGTTTACATGTTAAGGCGTGCTGGGCAAACTGGTCAAGTGACTCGTTTGGGCAAAGAGGGCACGTTGAGTTAGATGGAAAAATTTCCAGTCCGAGCCGCCATTTGGTGAGAACATTAAACTCGTTGGGTGATAAGCCTAAGCCTAGCGCTTTTGAGGGCTGCGCGCGGATACAGTCTCCATTGTGAGGTTCAGTCAAGGATGTTAACTTCACTTTTTCAGCAAGCGTGCACGTTTCTTCTAATTCGTGGAAACTGTGCTCGTCAATCAAGTCGGATATTGGTTTCTGGCGAATGAGCTCTGAAGTCGAACTGAGGGGTTCATGGTCTCCTATTCTGCTGTTGAAAATTTCAAGTGCGCTTTCCAGTTTCTGAGCGTCAAATGCGGCACCCATTGAGAATTTGTGTGAGGCTATGAATGCAGGGCTGCAGTGGTTTTCAAGCGACCGCAGGCCGAATCCTCCGAATCGTATCGGTAGTTGTGCTTGTGTCCATGCTCGATCCGTTGCGTTTATGACCACGCTCTCTTCGAAACATTTCCTGACACTGTCATCAAACTTCTTCAGTGCAGGAGCTGAGACGTCTGGAGGAACTGATCTTGCGAGGTGGCTGAGTTTGCAGAATGAAGCGCAAGTTCGGAGCAATATGGTGGAGACTTGAGGGTTTCCTAACTCGGGCAATTTCGACAACAGTTCGTTCGATTCCTTTGCTTTCTCCGCGATGATGTTCCTGCAGAACTCCGCGCTGCCTATCGGTTCGGTTCATGGTACTTTTGTAAATTCGGTTCATGGTACTTTTTCTCAATTGCCTCGGGAAAGCACGACAGGTCCGATCTGCTATATAGTTCACATTTACTGAGTTTAACTGAGAGGCCGGTGACTGCGGTGGCGTTGGTCAGGATCTCTAAGACTTTCTCTATTTCTGATCTTTTGCCGCAGAACACACCGTCGTCGAGATACCAACAATGCAGGAGCAGTTCCCATGCTGCGTCTATGTCGTTGACCACGGAGTGTAGCGCAAGAGCAAAGATAAGGGGCCCTAGTGGGTCACCCTGTTGGACTCCGAGCTCTGAAAAGAGGCTGCCCAACACGTGCCAGAGCTTGGGATGCTCGCCGTAGCAGGACTTTGTCCACGCGAGGAGTTCTGGGAAGTGATGTTTACATTCGTTCATGATCAGTTGCCTGTCCATAGTGTTGAAAGCGTTGTACATGTCAACTTTGAATACAACGAAATCTTCGTCCAGCCAGTGTTCTTCTATCACTTTTCGCAGCCGGTGTGTGACCTTCTCGACCCCTCCTGGACACGCCACTCCAAAAATTTTAAAACTTCTTGAGTTAGCTATTTATGTTAGTCTCGAATAGTCAAATTCCATTGTGGAGTTACTTCCAGAGTTACTGATTTTGTCTTGAGTTCCTGAACTAGAGATTAATTTGTCTGATTATTTTGAGATAAGGTTAGTTTAAGGTTGATCCATCTGAAATGTGAAATAAGCATTGTAAGATAATGGACCTAGCGGTCACAAAGCCGAAAATACCTTGTCAGAAGCTATATAAGCCAAAAAAAAAAACAAGACTTCAGAGTTCTGAAAAGTTAATAAGTCCACTGCAACCTGAAAACAGACAACACTCAAAAAACTTTATTTCCTCATCAAATGAAACAATATGACGCCACTAAGACGATTGAAAATAAAATAAGAAAATAAAATGAGCCGAAACCTATTGAGCCCAAAAAAATGGAAAAGAAAAAGTCTATTATTAATTCAAAAAAACTCCCGCTCAACCTCAAAATACAGACCCGAACACGCAACACATTTTTTCGCTCATCAGTAGACGCAATATGAGGTCAAAAGACCGATATAAAATAGGACGAAGCCTATCAAGCTGAATAAAAGTAAATTAAAATGGTTCCGTGCACAGGTTGGACAGGCCATACCAACGCTAATTAAATATAAAAAAACAACGTTGATCAATGTTGAATTAGGAATACTTTCGAGCTATCGCTCATTGTCAGCATCTCAAAACACAAAAAAATTCAGATTGAAAAAGCACCAAATCCAGTCGAATGAAGAAAAGAAAAAATACATCGGCAAAATTTCATGAATAAACCAAGTCGATTTAAAAGCATCCAGAGAATTCCCAATTATAATCTACACTCCTCTATTATAGCACAGATGGAATTGTCTATGTTGGATTTATCTTTTTTTTTGCACCCCCTGAGGCAGAGGATTGCACTCCTCAGAAAGGCAAAACTTATTTTTGTTGTTATAAAGTTTGTGTCCGAGTATGATTCGTTCAGTTTTTCGCTTAATTTATCTGCCAGTTTTTGGACGGAGCCTGGTGCTGCTCCTCCCGTACGCAAGAATTAGTGGAGCAAAGCTGCTCTGTTCCACATCCAGAATTCTTTGTTGGTATTTTAATGTTTTGATATTTGTAGGCGTCAGATATACTTTTAGCGCAGGATTTAGCATGAGGTTTAAAAAACTTTACATCAAAAAAGGTTCGGCTGAATCAGCCTCCCCAGAGTACATTTGCCTTGATGTCAAATCGAGTGTCATCTTCAGTAGTGGTTGTTTTGTTGTGAAAGCTTTCGCCTTCCAACGATTGAAGTTTCGGCTCTATTTCAACATCATGGCATACCTTGTCCAGGAGTGTCGCAAAGGTATCGCGAAATTAATTTCGTCTTAGGTGAGTGTATCCACCTTTCAGGCAGTGTAGAGAGTGGATCAGTGTGAACGGTTGTCCACATGGGCATGTATGTGGAGTGTTTGGAGGTTCCCATCCATATCTCAGATGTAAGCCATCTTTAACTTCTGATTTGTTGAGGGAAAAATTGTATTTCTTTAAGGGTAGCACGCTTAACCATTTCGACGCTCCTCATCTGATATTGATTTATTATCAGCTTTTTTTTCTGATGAACAATTGTCCATAATTTGAGCCTTTTTGGGAGTGATGTACTGGCTCTCAGTTTTGAATTTTCTATTTATCAGAGTTTGTTACGTTTCAGCTATTTCTGGATCATTTTTTTCTAATGGATCACAAATGGCTCGTGACCACTCACAATTTTTGGAAAATTCCATGTTACTGAGGCGTTCTAATCCTCCCATTCTTAGTGGTAGTGCAAAAACGCTGCGATCTTCATCGGTTATATGGTTTTTTACCAGTAATACTAGGAACTAGCTGCTGTCTTACAATTTTCTCAATTTCATCCATTATCTTAAATGCTTTCGGAGTTGTTCTGCTTAGAAACCTTAGTTTATTTTGAAATCCCTTTGTGTAGCAGGAGCATGCAAATTTTGGTGATGTTTTAGCTATTTCGGAAAACTTTTTAGTTAGGGTAGTTGTCTTTTCAATTTCGCTTTCCATGCATTTATCACATGCTGATGGTGTTCCTATAACCGATCCAAGAACTCTAAAACCTTCTACCATTGTAATATTTGTGCCTTCGAATACCTTTATGGCGCTTTCCCTGACGGTGCACATCCGGGTTGTCCAGTATCCAGCTGAATCAAAAGGAAAAAAAGCGGCAAAAACTTTTTGCCATGAAAAACAAAAAAAGAAAATATACAAAGTCAAGTTTAGCAAAATAACAAACAGCAGAGGTAAATCAGAACACTAAAAGCACCTATAATGTTTTAAAAATTTTAAAAACAATTTGACATGGCAACTAAGCCGATGAAACATTAACAGACAAAAATAAAACGACAATTTGTTTTACACGGACTATTTCCCGTTTGACAAAAAAAAACAGGTTTTGTCAGAACTGAACACGAGAGCTTTGGCGTCCCAGGCTTCTTCGTTATCTCCACACTTAAGGTGCCGGAGACGCCTTGAAACTTGAATTCATTATGAATCAAGATACCGATTGGTTCAAGTGATTCTGTTAACAAGCTGTTCCTAGTTGATAACGCTTGCTAATTGCAAGCGTAAACACGCAAATTTTCTGATTGAGAAACAAAATTGGCTTTAAATTATCGAAAGTGCAATTGATATGTTTTAATTCTCATTTATCGTCTTAATGTCAAGTCGACTTGATGTCTTGTCGTCTCATTTACATAGCGCCAAGAGAACTAATCAAACGCGTTGACAAGTAGTAATTAATCACCCAGAAAGGTAGCGGACCTTCGCACCA